AGTGAAACGGCCTGGAAACAGGCTTACAGGGAGATGTTGCGAGAGGTGAGTGAAACGGCCAGGGAACAGGCTTACAGGGAGATGTTGCGGGAGGTGAGTGAAGCGTTCAGGAACCAGGCTTACAGGACGGAGGTGAGTGAAGCGTTTGGGGAACAGGCTTACAGGACGGAGGTGAGTGAAGCGTTTGGGGAACAGGCTTAAAGGACGGAGGTGAGTGAAGCGTTCATGAGCAAGGCTAACTGGACGGAAGTGAGTGAAGCGTGCAGGAGCAAGGCTGGCTGGGAAATGTTGAGAGAGGTGAGTGACGCATAAAGGAACCAGGCTTACAGACGGAGGTGAGTGAAGCGTTCAGGAACCAGGCTTACGGGACGGAGGTGATTAAAGTGTTCAGGAACAAGGCTGGCTGGGAAATGTTGAGAGAGGTGAGTGAAGCGTTCAGGGAACAGGCTTACAGGGAGATCTGGCGAGAAGTGAGTGAAACGGCCAGGGAACAGGCTTACAGGGAGATGTTGAGAGAGGTGAGTGACGCATTAAGGAACCAGGATTACAGGACGGAGGTGAGTGAAGCGTTTGGGGAACAGGCTTACCTGACAACTAACGGAATCAATACATCAATATGAGTAGTAGTCGGCGGAGACCTGGTTAACTTTAGGGAGAGCGTGAGGTGTTGTTGATGTGAGGCGGGGAAATGAGGTGGTGTGTATAGGTAGGGCTTGGATCAAGAAGTGTCTGTGTCCAGGCCACCATGCGAACATTCCTAAATCTGTATTTTCCATCTTCTTTGGGGTCAAAACTGCTGTGCAGATTATTGATATTTGACAACTTTGAATTTTAAGGCGAGAAAGCGATGGCCCTTATCCGCCACCATACTTTAGAGGACACCTGTTGACTGTCTTAATTACTACCCTGACCTACGTTCACAATATCTACACCTCGTTTGCCGTTTACATATTCCAACAAACCTGCTTCATTTGATATGAAAGGGCAACTGACTACCATGTGAACCTCATTCACTGACATGAAATGTTGAGAATATAGTTTGCCCATAGATGTAAACAAAGGCAACTGCAAACCATTAATCTGCTGACTCAGTGATTGTGAAGAGCAAAGGTGTATACTGCAGCTATATGTGATCCACACCTCACTGGCTAGTCTTTTTCCTAAAACTTGTAATTGTCCAGCATGCTGTTACAGCTGTGTTCACTGAGTCTGTAGTACAGAAATCAGTCGAGGCTCTGCAAACATTAATCGACAGTTGTTTGTTTTCAGCAATGTGAATTACAACAGAATTTACATGTGCTGTGACTGCTGTTGTCCCTCTGGGAACAGCTGGTATCGCCAACATGTGCCCCTTGATATGGTTGCCCCCATGGCAACAACTGGTATCAATGTAACTTGATTTGTAATGTAACAGAATTTGTAGAATGATACTTACATCATGTAGTCTTCCAGACTCCATGCAGAAAGAAAGTAAGACAAGTTATAGTTGAATATTCTACAGGGTTTATTTTCAAACTAGTGGTATGTTTTAGTTACAGTCAAATCTCGATGAGTCGAATGCCGGTGTCTCGAATATTATGCATAACTCGAAGTACCTGTCGGTCCCGACCATTCCCTGTTATAATTGTCATCATTTGAATACCGGTTACACGAATTCGTCTCATAAATACACACGATGACTCGAGAAGAAAATTTGGTCCAATGAGATTCAAACAACAGCAATCTTGTATACATAAGCCGAAGTCAGTCAATGAGAAATTGATTGGTGTAGCAAACTGATCCAATTAACAAACCAGCGCGTCTCACATCTTTCCGCCTTTGATGGGTGAGTTCAAAAGGCAGATTAGTGATTTTACGGAAATCACTGTCTGTGCTAATCAGACTGGAACTGATAAGGTGCCCCTATTAGTGATAGGGAAATCATTAGATTAAGAAATGCTTAGGCGGAGGAATTAGGACTGGATCTTTTTTTCTACCCTCATAGACATACATATGTCTCAAATACATCGATAAGTCAAATTTATTACTTGGTCCCCAGAGATTCGACTAATCGGGATTTGACTGTATTTAGATTACATAACTAGGAGTTTTGTCAAAACATAATCTTTCTTCTGTTCATCAAAGAAATTGATTACTTGTATATGTGCTATATGTATAATCATTACCTACACATAATATAAGAAAAAACATTATATGTGGAGTTTTCACTACAAACCCTGTGGTTTTGAAAGCAGGCTAATCAAAATGATACAAAACAGTCATCACCAGACTGATTCTTTTCCTCATAAATGTTTGCAATATTTACTTTAAACTTCCTGTCTTGTCAAGAATATTACATCATTTGATGAGCTATAACATTTGAGTGAAAATATTTAAATGTTCAATCTTTGAAAACAATTACTAGTATCTTTTTTGAATTTCCTTATTTAAGAAAAGAGAATATGAAAAGAAATAATTGTTTTGCTACATTTCCATCCTATTTGTTGCTGCTAAACTATGATCATACTGTCACCAGTAGTACTAACACACACTTGGGTGGTGCAGAATAATTCAATATAGACCATTTATACATGGAAGGTGTTGCATAATCAATATAGTATCGTTTACACATGGAGTGGGTGAGTGAGTGAGTTTAGTTTTAGTCGCTTTTAGCAATATCTTTAGTAATATTCCAGCAATATCACGATGGGGCGACACCAGATATTGGCTTCACACATTGTACCCATGTGGGGAATCAAACACGGGTCTTTGGTGTGACGAGTGAACGCTTTAACCACTAGGCTACCCCACCTCCCCTTTACACATGGAAGATGTAGCATAATTCAATATAGAATTACTTATACATGAAAGGTTCGGCACAATGTAATATAGGATCATTTATACTCAGAAGGTGTTGGATAATTTAATATAAAATCATTTATACTCAGAAGGTGTGGCATAATCTAACATAGAATCATTCACATAATTGTAACTACCTAAGATTGATTACATCAGGTTCCTTTTTTGTACTGATATACAATGTTGGAAAATATATTCATCACACAATGTACCATAAAAAAAGACTTTCTGTCCAGTCAAACATTTCTCATAATACATTGTATGTAATGTATTCTTTTCAGTTTAGCTTAAAGCTGCAATTTTCAAAAAATGTAAAACAAATTGGTATGATATATCTTTTAAATAAAAGCAACATACATGTACTTTCCTTTCTACATCTGTCCTCACCAGGTTTTTAAAACAGGAATGTGACTACCCACACTCTCCTGAACATGCGGCACACTGTTGTGCCCCACCCCCCTGTAAGTCCACTAGCATTGTCCTCGCCTCAGGACTGAAGTCAGCACTGAGGGCCATTACATAGGAAGAAATAGGAGATAGAATAATGACAGGATGACAGAGTAATCTGTTTTCCCAAATAGGTGTCAGTATCAACTGTTGTATTATATACTGAGGGAAAATACATAAGGAATCACATGAAAGCACAAGTGTTAATTTATTTTTTTCCCAGGTTTCTTCACAAGCTTTGTATCACAGAACTTGTGAAGAAACCTGGGGAAAACATAAAGGAACACTTGTGCTTTCATGTGATCCCATATGTTTTTCCATCAGTATATTTGCAAAATTTCATTTGAAAGGTTTGGAACCAGATGCAAAAACCTGCCCTAATTTTGAACCTGTTGGGTTGGAAAAGCAAAAGATCCCAAAAGCAAAAATTCCAGGACATCACATGCATCAGTAAGCACTACTTGTCTGGTGTGCATGCAAAGTTTCATGATACATAGAATGGTTCACTGAATGTCAAACTTTTGAAAAAACCCATCCTACTCTCATTTTAGCAAATACAAAAAAAGTATATGCAGCAAGGGGCAGAACTCTGGCAGTATTGTGTAACATGCTTACATGACCAGACAGGAACATAACTTTGTCAAACATGAGTTTTGGTGGCGATGATTTTCAAATCTGATCAGCTTATGTATCACTAAATGATGAAAGCAAATGCCTTCCTTGTATCCACAGGTGTCTGCAAAAACCACCTGCAAGGATAAAGCTAAGATCATAACCCTATAAGCTTTATATTTTTATGCTGGCTTTTTAAACTCTTTCAACATATTTACGTGATAATGATGTATGCAAAATAAAGTGCTTGGATCCATACTTGACTCTGAATGTTTTCTGAACCATGTGTGAGATGGAACAATGACTAACCCAAAACTGTTGTTTTGTTCTTCATACTGTAGGTCCACAGTCCTAAAAGGCTATCATAAGTTGAGATAACTACATCAACAGAAAACATACCACACTCAGGCTTCATGCATGTAACTGAATGACTTTGGTTGCATACCGCTTATAATATCAATTCAATAATATCTTCACGATTGATACAAAGTGTATTTTATGTTGATTGTAATACTGAAATCTGTGACTGACAAACCAGTGGTTGATATTTTGAGCAACACACCACATTCTTTGTGTCAATGACAGATTTGTGTTGGATGTTTAATGGTTTGTTGGATAACATCACACGGCAATATTCAAGCTACATTTTTATCATGACTTTGGTGTGATCAACCAATGCTTAAAGTTGGCTGATTTGTTGTTTCACGCCGTACCTCGCAATATTCCAGCTATATGGCGGCGGTCTGTAAATAATCAAGTCTGAACCAGACAATGCAGTGATCAACAGTATGAGCATCAATCTACACAAACTGGGATACGACAACATGTGTCAACAAAGTCCTAACCATCCGATCCTGTAAGTCGCCTCTTGACCAGCATGGTTACTGAAGACAAGTTCTAACCTGGATCTTCACGGGTCCAGTGCTTAAAGAACTACGCTAGTGGTTGATGGCACAGCTGTTGCCTGATGCTCAAAGTCAAAGAAAATTGGTCATTTTCAACATCAGTAATGTCCTATGCATGTTAAACAACTGCAAGCAACTGCACCACTGTACTACAACTAGTCGACTGCATTTCTACAGAGAAATACAACACAACACAAATAAAACTGGGAACATTTAATGAAAATGTAAGAAAATGCAAAAGTATGAAACATTCATCAGATATTGTAGAATTGTAATACTGCTGCAGGCTTCTATAGTGCGATGCAAATACAACACACACTGACAGGTCAGTCTGCGGACAGGGCTATCACAACCTCGCAATCAATTATTGCACTCATTACATGATGGCAGTAACAGTAAGCTGTAAATGCTGACGTCATAAATTAAGAATAAAGTATTTAGCATAAACAAGAGCAGATCATAATGAAACACTATTCAGAAATGTAAGCCAATAGAGAGTGCCCGCAGTAATAGTATGTTGCCATTAAGTATAGTTAATGTCATATCACAAATCTCTGTCAACAATAAGTTACATGGGCATTACCATCTACAGCAAAAATAAGTTAGAAATGTTAAACCAAGTGAAAATATGACTAAAATCCATTTTTGAATTGTAAATAAAAAGCTTTTGTTCAAAATGATACTAACAATAAGAAACATTTCATACAACCACACATTAGTAATTTTATAAGACACTGGGTACTCCTTTGATGTAAGAAAATATCATATTCTTTTTTTGTTTGGTAAAATATTGGTAAATATTTCAATAAAATGTTGGAAAAATGGTTGAGAACATTTTTTTCCCATTTTTCACATAAAAAAAGGAGAAGTTCACTTCTGCGACAATACCATTTGGATTTGGGTTGAGATAGCACAGTGCATAGTGGTGCACAACATAGCACAGCAATGACACTTTCAAAACAGAGCATGAAGTGAAATCTGACCATTCTGACCATTTTTCAACATTTGAATTACAAAGACAAGACATTAATGAAGTGTGTGTTCAGATATTTTAAAGTTTTAATAAAAAAGGGGGTATGTTTAGATATCACAAATCTGGATTTCATTTATTCAAAATGTTTGATTGTCTCTTAATGACTGGTTCCTGTTAGTGAATTAGCACTTGTACAGTTGTATGACATACTGTCATTCATTTGGCAACATAAATATATATACGTTTTGACAGATTGAGTGTAATGTATTAAACTGGCAGATCATTTGTCTGCATGGAAACAAATGGGAAAGTGCTTGTATACTATGTACAAGAGCCTCAATCTAAGTGCATTAGGTTACAGATATAACTACTGTTATTCTGTGCTCTATTTGTACTAATAGAAGATTATTGGTAATTTGTACAATTTAAAAATAAAAACTAACAAAATCTACAAAAAAAATCAATTGATGAATGCAGTGCCAACTTTTTCTATCACAGTCTTAGGTTCAGTATATGAAAAATCCTTACTGACAGGAGCCCTGAAGATCTGCTCTCCTATCTGTGTGATCATCTGATGATGGTTTTCGGTTTGGGTGTATCACACAGGCTTTATCACAACATGCAGTCCATCTTTCATCCAGCACTCCAGTGTAAACAATAACTGATACTCATGCACGCACATGCATACTAAACTAGCTGCATAGTATGCCACATTCTCAACTTCCATGGATAGACTCAACCAAAATTTGCTGAATCTAATTGTTGCTCCGGTACAGTTTTGTCTTCTCCAGTTGAAAACCTGAACATAAAATTTTGGGCAAGGACCTCCACCTGGAATTCTTGAAACAACCTTTAATTGTAACATACAGTTTCTGAATCATTACCCAGCCTCTATTGTCTTCTTTTAAGCTTAGGTGCAGCTCAAATGTAGCCACAGTTCTTGGGTCACAGTCAATCTTGGCTATTCTACGACTTGAGTCTTTTCCTTCCAAATTGATGTACAGGAGGCACCCACGAAGACCATACGGTTCATCTTGTGACATCCGCACAACATCTTGAGATATTTTAGAGATTAGCCCACATGGGAACAAGATTTCACATTGCAGTTTGCTTTCCCTGGCATGCCTCAAAGCATCTTCTATTTCGTGTTTCAACATCAAGCACTGATTATATTCAACATTGTCTTCAAATGTTCCATACTGATTCAGACCAGGGATGTGAGATTCTGAAGAAAATTAACAAAAGTTCTGATTAGTATTTTTTTTTTCAAAATTCAAATGATGCAAAATTCAAAAGAAATGGGGTTGGTGATTGAGTTCCGAACTTGGAACACATTAAACAATATGGGCTGATTCAATGGTGAATATTCCTGTATATTTATAAAGAGGATTCTGTTATATTAATCAGAGAAGGACAAATTAATTTGATCAGTTTGTGAGATTTTCAAGTTAAGAAAGAACTTATAGCTGTAAATTAATGACACATTCGCGTGTGATTGTGACGCACCTTGAATAGGATATACAGTGGACAAGATAATGACTATGAATGAATGTTCAACTAAAATATTGATAATACGATGAAAAAATCTGTAGTCTGTAGAATATGAACATCTACAGGTCGTAAATCCATGATGCAAGGCGACACTGTATTATCGTGATGATGTTAATCGGGAACAATGACATGAATGGCAGGGGAATGTCGTCTGCTTCCGCTTGACAGCGAACAGAAAGTTTTGTCATACCGGCTACTTACCGAGGTGATCTTTGTGTTTTTCATGTTCGAAGTCTGTTTCGATAACCAATGCATAGTCAGAGTGCCTCTCAGCTTTCTCAGAAAGATTCCTGAAAAGGTCTTTGATCTTGTGGGCAACTTGATCGAACATCTTACTTGTGTCGTAGGAATGTTGAGGTGACTGACAACTTGAGCAGGCTTGGCACACAAAGAAATCCAAGCGTAACAGCAGATCGGTAAATTCACTTGCTTAATTACTATCACATTCCAAAACGACTTCGTCGTCTATAAACTGTCACAAAACATTGCAGTGTTGTATGCAACAAGAGCCTCTCTCATCACACTGTCCGTTCTCGATGAAGTCAGCGTCAAACTAAACCGGTGACAAATCAGCTGATTATATAGAATGCCCGGATGACTATTAGCATAATCCTCCCTTATTTGGAACGCGGAAAATCCCACACCTCCACACAGCCACCAATCATAGAGCACGCACTGTTGCGAAGCCGGTTCGGGTCAGAGGTCGCAGGTTGTGATGAAAGGTCATGGCCAACAAAACAAAGAAATCAGCTGTTTTACCAGTTAATTGTTCAGACGTATAATTACAAGACATACATATTTATTCGGGTGCTACATCAGTTAGACATGCTTAAGCGTTTACAAACTGTCCTTTTGAATTACAAATATTAGTGCAATACCTAGACAGACCTTTTGTGAGCGTGCACTCGATCAGGCCTTTGTTCGCCGGTTGACCGGGATCTGCTATACTAGCACGAAATATACATGAATTCAAATCATACCGCATCACTCTGTATTATGTATGTTCGTGCACAAGTTCACCATCAATTATGTCATATCACATTATGACCAAATTTTATATTTAAAGTCATTCGAAGATCAGGTAATATTTAGCTGCCTCCATTCATTGGTTAAGTGCTCACTAAACTTTTTATATTTTAAACGTGATTAACATGAAATATAATTTCTGAAATGAAAATTCTTAGTAATGCGATTCAGTCAATCACCCTAACAACAAGAAGTGTATGGACGAGGGCTGGAGGTGGCGAAAGAACTATATCCCACTGTCAAATTTGTCATGAACAGCACTGATAGCGAATCTTCACTAGAGAAAATACAATGATAAAAGATAAAAATCATTTTATTTCATCCTAACATATATTCATATGAAATGATATCGATCCTAAATTCGGGTTGCAGGTATAATACTGTTTATATATGGGTGGAGAGGGTAAAGCAAAATTCTCCCTGTGAAAATTTCTTGCCAATACAAAAAAATCGGTGGCAATATGTGGACCCCAACTCCAACGAGCCTGATGTTTCTCTCTTTCAGAGGCGTTCATCTTTAAAAAAATACGTATTTGCACAAATTATGTTTGAAATATAACATCGGAGAAACATGTATATCCACTACCAGTTCTAGCTACATGCCCTCCGTGTTCTATGCAGTTCATGACACAGACACCGTGCAGCGACATCCTTGACGTCACTGCGACATGCACTCCCGCACATAACTCCGCATTACATTTACAGTATACAGACAGCTCTCAGCTCTGTACAGTTTGGACCGATCTTAGCGGTAAACAAGTGTTTAAAGGTCGGGACAACATCGAGGATGCGGACGTGCACAGCTACACAACGGGGACGTGTCGGAGTGACGGTTTCGGGGCTAACGTGGTATCACGTGTACAGTCATCACTGACGCCGGTGTCTATGCAGGATGAGTCTTATGTACTCTCAAAAGAAACTTTCGATATGGATAGGAAGTATAAGCGTTAACAAACTTTTCATTTATTGAGTTTGGTTTTACGCCGCTTTTAGCAATATTCCAGCTACATCACGGCGGGAGACACCAGAAATGGGCTTCAGAATTTGTACCTATGTGGGGATTCGAACCCGGGTCATCGGCGTGACGAGCCAACGCTTTAACCACTAGGCTACCCTACCCGACAGTTATGAAGAAGGTCGATAAATGACTGTAGACTTTTAATTTTGACAATCATCTTTCATCACACAGTTGTTAGTGTTTGTGTCTAGCCGTTGGTTTTGTTTCAAAATGAAAATCGTACAAAGCAAATTTCACGTTATACGCCAATCATCTTTCAAGAGCGATTATTGTACAAACAACTGTGCTCACAAGGACGTGCGAGTGGTGATACACTCTCAAAACATTCATTACTATCATATCAACATTGATTGACTCCAATATATGTCCCAATTTTTCCCAAAGTTCCCCTGCTTTCTTTTAAGAGTATAAATCCTATCTAACACCGTTAGAACTACAAGAGCGAAAACGAACATACAAACCAACATTGGACGTATGTCTGTATAGAAACCTGACAAATATACAGCATATACGTGTGTTATACCACACCTCGATATAATACGAGTATATTTACCTTACATACAACCTGCACGTATATACCACACCTCGATATAATACGAGTATATTTACCTTACATACAACCTGCACGTATATACCACACCTCGATATAATACTAGTATATTTACCTTACATACAACCTGCACGTATATTATACCACACCTGGATATAATACTAGTATATTACCTTACATACAACCTGCACGTATATACCACACCTCGATATAATACTTGTATATATGATTAAATACAACCTGTACGTGTATTGTATCACACCTCGATATAATACTAGTTAAAACCTTACATACAGCCTGTGTGTGTATTAAGCCACACTTTGACGTATACATAGATGAGTTATGATCCTATACATGTTGTTACAGTCCGTCTTATGTAGAGGACAGGCACACGGTCCTGTTCAACTCCCAGATACAGCACGTGAACTACTAACATTTGGTACCCATTCGCCTGCAGTATAACAGATATAATATCTGGATAACTCTCGGCGGAGATACAGCTTCGTCATGTGACTACAGATTGGGATATTTCAGGGTCAAGTGCAAACGGTGACTTTGATCTCGTGATGTCACGTGTGCTCGGTGCGCCATACCGGCCGGTGTTCTGTCGTCTGGCCTTGAGTTACGTCACAAACAAGCCGGCATTGTTCACGGCGATCATGTCGCTCACGTAAGCATCGGGTCGACACAGCGACATGTTCAGTGATTACTTGTGTGTGTATAACGTCCTATTTCAGGTACAGCTTGTCAGCGGCATTATCTTTTCAATAAATATTTACTCACATTTCTGTTAGGTTAATTAGCGAGTATATGCTAGTCTATGAATCTCACATCCCGTCGGTACAGACGTCGATCTCTTCGTTAATTAAGCGTCCAACCGTTGTACAGCTGAACACTGTTGATCCTATGCGTTTAACTCACTCTTTTATTAGCGTCCAGGTCTTTATTCAACATACCCCTGTATATATATCCACTGTGGGAGAAGTCCTATAAACTGCCAGGCGAAAGAAAGTGTATGCTTGAAAATCTCAGTGTTCAAATATTACAGGACCGGAAACAGTCTCCATTAAAGATAAGGACAGACTTTATGGATGTACAACTTCTCATTCAGGCGGTGCGACGGTTCGATTCAGATTCTTGTATCGTAGTTTCCCATGACAACGATACAAGAATCTGCATCAGGTGAAAATAGAGAAGTTGTTAATCCATAAAGTATTTTCCTTATCTCACTCCCCAACTTCTAAATTTGCCAGTCAAAGAAGTTAGTCTCCATTAATGCCTCAAACCTGAGGTCGAAACGCATCTATGAAAGCAGGTATAGATATCGATTACCCATTTCCTGATTGTTTCCGTTGAAGCCACCGTTTCGGTTGCTGCATTCTTTCTTTGCCCAGACATCAACCGTGCACTACATTTATTTGACACTTCAATTTAAACGTTGTCGTGTGTTTTGGGTCGGAAATACTGCAAACACACTCACACCTTCTTCAGACAAATCGTTTTCCGTTTAAAATTTGCAAATGATACACGTCAAGACATAAGTATATTACATCAGCCCCGATGATGTATATATTACAGCATTAAAACCATAACCTGCAGATATCGCACCACCCGTCTACATACACCTGGATCAGGCGGACCTGTGATATGCAACTGCAGCACGTGCAGGTGTGTCACGTGGGGCGTATATTGCTCAGGTCATGTCCCTAAGTGTGGCTGCCACGGTTGATAAGGACAGGTAAACGCGATGTTTGCTAACTCTTTTAAAACAAACACATCCAAAAACACTAACTGTATACGACATGCTGTACACGTACAGTTCCCCGATTCATTGTACAACGCTGAAACAATATCCGATAACGATGGTATTTGGAATAATTTTGGCTGAAGTTTGTTGGCCGAAATTCAACACCTATCTAAACGACAGGACGAAATGCATGTACACGCTGTGGCCTGGTACAACGGGGTTCATTGTTTCACTGGAGTTTTTAAAACAATTACTGTACTAGTGCCGTGTAATTAGCATTGATATTGTTGGATGAATCTAATATCGAGAATATCCTCCCCCACCTCTCTCTCTCCTCCACCCCCACCCCACACGCCCGAGAATGAAACGGTTGTCCCACTTAAGTGTATATTGTGAAAACCTTGCGATGGGGACAGGCTTCTTGTTGATTGACGAAGCCAACACGAAAACAGGCCCTCCCCCGAGATGCTTTGCAATTCAGGCCACGTTTGGTTACAGCGGTACAGTGAACAACCCCCCTTTGATTTACAGTCGCGGCTGCCAACATCATATTATCTAAACTTTAAGCAATAGCCTATTAAGCAACGGTGTATGGTGAATAACTAATTCATATCATGTATTCATTTACATATTTATTGAATCTTGATACACACGATATCAGGCTGGTTTATCACACTGATAACACAATTCTTTATGAGATGACTTCTCAGATTACTCTCGGCAAAGTCGTACACTGGTCTATATATTATATACTCTCCCCAAAAAAAGAAACGCATCATGAAAATAGCAATTTCATGTAGCAATGAATTAAAACGTGATTCATTTTACAAAAGGTTTTGCTCTGTTTATGAGTCCTATGGTGTTTATGTTTTGAAACATCACAACAAAACGCACCATCCGTAAAATACCCGTATTTAACAGCATGATTTTCAATTTCGGCGTGTAGTGTCACAGAATACACAATTCACATGCAATGCTCGTGAAAGTTGGGGATCAGATAGTCTCAATGATGGGTATAAAAGGTTGATCGCTGTCTGTCGATTATTCACTGTATTTGGAATATTGTTGACGAACGCAAAATGCCACGTCTAAGTGAAGCCAACCGTCATATCGCCATTGGTTTGCTTGAAGCTGGCCAGTCTCAACGTGCAGTTACCCGACGCATGAATGTTCACCAAAGCACCATATCACGGCTGTGGGAGAGATATCGCCGGCAGAATGCGGTAGCAGATGCCCCTCGTAGTGGGCGACCTCGAGCGACCACTGCGGCGCAGGATCGCTACATCCGGGTACATCACCTGCGTCATCGAACAGCTACGGCGACCAGTACCGCTCGACAAATACCCGGATTGAGGAGGCTTTCTACACAGACCGTCAGGCTGGTTTACGTGCCAGAAGACCTTATTTTGGCCCTGTGCTTCGACAACAACATCGTCGACATCGAGTTCAATGGTGCACCAACGTTCAGGCCTGGAACCTACCGAATTGGCGTAGAATCTGGTTCAGTGATGAATCACGATTTCTATTGGAACGACGCCATGGACGTCGACGTGAACGTTTCGCCGACGCTTGCGTTCCCCAGGTGGACAGATTCGTCCGGGGAAGTGTTATGATGTGGGGGGGGAGATCACCTGCCGTAGGAGAAGTGATTTGGTGATGATCCAGGGCAACCTGACGGCTCAACGGTACTGTGACGAAATCCTACGCCCACACCTCCTTCCAATCATTGATCGCCAGAGGGAGTTGTTTCAACAGGACAATGCCAAGCCCCACACAGCACGTCACACTAGAGACTTCCTCCAGAACCACAACATCAATGTGCTCGCCTGGCCCTCAAGATCACCGGACTTAAACCCGATCGAACATCTGTGCGATGCCCTGGACAGACGGGTGCGACGCCGTAACCCTCAGCCCCAGACATTTCAGCAACTCGCACAGGCACTACAGGCAGAGTGGGCTGCGATTGGGCAACACGAGATTTTGAGACTTATTCGTTCGATGACGAGGCGATGCCCTGCAGTTTTGGATGCCCACGGTGGTCACACGAGGTATTGACTTCAGCGCCACCACACGTCTCCATGTGACACTCAAACTGACTTTCCTCGAGTTGGTGCAACAGTCGGATAAGTCTGCATTCCCAGTGTGCAATTTCGCTATATTTCATTTACTCATAAAGCCTACAAGATGTTTCAAGATAAACATAAAAATACAGTTGAAATTCCTATATGCGTTTCTTTTTTGGGAGAGTATATATACATGACAAAACGGTATCCACGATACATTTATACATAACATATACACTGTATGTAATATACATTGTACATGTAGCGTAGCCTATAAGGTTACATGGTACATACAATATACATTGTATACACCAGCTATACACTGGACATTATACTACCATATACACTGGTTTTATACACATTCACAATGCACATATTTCAATATATTTTATTAAGAGTACATCCATTATATATCAAACACTATAGTGATGTATCTTGTACGTTTTAAAAAACGATTTATATGTTAATCAGAACTGGTGACTATATACTGATATGTCGTTTGATGTAAACTTATGTAAAACTATATCAGGCAATAATTCACACCGTAATTTTTAGATAATGTAAATAATATAACAATCTGTCATTTTATGAAAGATTGTTGTCCTAAGACTGGTTTTTGTATTGCACGCGTATGCTTTCTTGCCGTTAAGGGTGTAATTTACCAGACATCTATGAACATATTCAGTAAAGCCTTAGAGCAAGGCTAAGCCTGATATCGTGACGGGTCAAGGTATGGGTAGACTTGAAAAAGTCTCTGAGGTAATAATTAATAGTTTAAGTAATAATTTCAAATAAACATATAAATAACAGACTGGGGTCCTATGTACTGTCCGCTTATCTAGACTTGCCTCCTTAAAGGATAGAATTGCTATACATGCATGGGCTAAGCACACAGTACAGCCTTGGAGCAAGGCTAAGATGTGGGCTGCAGCGAGAACTTGTGCCAAGTCTGTATCATCTACATACAGATTCACCAACATGTGTTTCGTTACACGTATGCTTTGCGTGATGACTATATGACCAGCAGACTACCACCCATTCAAGTTTAAAGATCTGTCTCGTGAATACACGTGTATATAATGACTGTGTCACCATAAATAATACAATCTATCATAAATAGCGATAGACAGCTTTAGAAGGCTGGCGTTGGAGTTCAATAAATGTCTTTAACTATAAAAGACGTTCTGTTTGCCCCTATACACGATATAGAAGCTTAAATGGGCATTATTTTATAATAAATGGCTCGTGGTAGTGTCTGTGGCTGATGCAGGGTCCAGTCTCGGACACCTGAGCAAGATTGTCAGATCCCAATCTTGAGCTCTCATTTATAGTTTAACAAATGTTCGCTGTCTCTGATGTGTATCCGGGCACGAGCTCACCCCGTAGTGACCCGTCTACAGGCTGTATACAAGGACATATCAGCCGGCAGTTTATATACACTTATATATCACCCCAGCAATTAGCCGCGTCTCAGATTGACCGCTCGATGAACTCACGGCAGTGGGTTTTGTGGTAAATACAACCTAACGTGTAAGTGTGACGTATTTAAACAACACAATTACGATGGTAGACATCTTCATTGCTTAAAATGTCTACAACTTAGGAAGCAGTGACGCTAATGTAGTAAGCTGGAAAACTGAACATCGTACAAATTGTACCATTGATTGCCCTGACAACATCTCCACGTACCGTGGAATGGGGGGATTGGGAAGCAGGATAGGGTCGGTGCTTGCATGCGTGCGAGCGTGCGTTTGAGTTGGGGGATGGGGATGAGGCACGGTGGTGTCAGGTGGAATACACTACTTGAGTTAGTCTGGCATACAGTGACCTTGTTAGCCTGCCACTGACCATTAGTCCATCATAGAGTTAGTTAGTCTGTCATACACTGACCTTGTTTGCTTCCCACTGACCAAATTAGTCTGTCATGCACTACCTGAGTCAGTGTGTCATACAGTGACCTTAATTGTTAGCCTTCCACTGACCAAGTTAGTCCGTCATACGCTACCTGAGTTAGTCTGTCATACATTGACCTTATTAGCCTCCCACTGACCAAGTTAGTCTGTCATACACTACCTGAGTTAGTCTGTCATACAGTGACCTTGTTAGCTTCCCACTGACCATGTTAGTCCGTCATACACTACCTGAGTTAGTCTGTCATACAGTGACCTTGTTAGCCTCCCACTGACCAAATTAGTCTGTCATGCACTAGCTGAGTTTGGTCATGTGTCATACAGTGACCTGAATTAGTCTGTCATACATTAGTTAGCCTAGTCTGTCATACCTGAGTTAGTCTGTCATACATTTACCCAGATAGCCTCCCACTGACCAAGTTAGTCTGTCATACACTACCTGAGTTAGTCTGTCATACACACTACCTGAGTTAGCCTCCCACTGCGCTACCTGAGTTGGTGTGTCCAAGATAGTGACCAAGTTAGTCTGTCATACACTACCCTGTCATAGTTAGTCTGTCATACATTGACTCTGAGTTAGCCTCCCACTGTACATTTACATTGATAGCCTCCCACCAAGTTGTACACTACCTGAGTCTGTCATACACTACCTGAGTTAGTCTGTCATACATTGACTCGAATTAGCCTCCCACTGACCAAGTTAGTCTGTCATGCACTACCTGAGTTAGTCTGTCATACATTGACTCGAGTTAGCCTCCCACTGACCATGTTAGTCTGTCATACACTACCTGAGTTAGTCTGTCATACATTGACTCGAGTTAGCCTCCCACTGACCAAGTTAGTCTGTCATACACTAGCTGAGTTAGTCTGTCATACATTGACTCGAATTAGCCTGCCACTGACCAAGTTAGCCAGCCGTGGATTGAATGAGTCAGTCTGTCATACATTGACTCAAATTAGCCTGCCACTGACCAAGTTGACCAGCCATAGACTGAATGAGTCAGTCTGTCATACATTGACTCGAGTTAGCCTCCCACTGACCAAGTTAGTCTGTCATACACTACCTGAGTTAGTCTGTCATACATTGACTCAAATTAGCCTGCCACTGACCAAGTTAGCCAGCCGTGGATTGAATGAGTCAGTCTGTCATGGAAGGAGTTGAGGCAAAATATTCCACTTGCCCTGCTTCCTGACCTTCACCTTGATATCAGCATTTCATTTACAATGTTAGACAATCAAACCTTACATGTTGCACTTCCGTTTTCACGGAAATCCACATTTTTCAAATTCTTGCATCCATTTCATTGCCTTAAGTGATGCTGTTAACACCGCCGCCAGTGTGTAAACTCAGCCTCACCTTCAGTGTGTTTCACAAAGTAATACACCCCACCCCTCCTCCAGTCCTAGGGGGTGTTTAGTAAACAACATCGGCCATTTGTAAACTGATATATGTTGACCAAGGTCACCACTGCACCACAACCAACAGACAAGAGACAGTCAAATGATTGCATTTTCCCCCTTGAAAACTGCACTTTTGTGTGTGCTTGAGATGATAAATGTCTCTCAACTACTGAATGTTTTGGGCTGAATGTGACTGGTTCTGTGGAGAACAGTATTCCAGGTTGAGCAGGAAGTGGCCCTTTTGCAGCATCACAATCAGGTGATCACATGTCAGGTGATCACATGCATGTCAGTGTCATTGTTCCTGGTTAGTAAGTATATGCAAAGAAAAAAATATAATGATTAAAAAACATCATAAACAGTTGGCCCAAATTAGTGCATATGACTGTAGAGTGTTGTGGTTAGTTTAGTAACAGTATATATAACAGTATATATTACAGTATATATAACAGTATATATTACAGTATATATAACAGTATATATTACAGTATATATAACAGTATATTACAGTATATATAACAGTATATATTACAGTATATATTACAGTATATATTACAGTATATATAACAGTATATATAACAGTATATATTACAGTATATATAACAGTATATATAACAGTATATATAACAGTATATATAACAGTGTGTCCCCCCCATTGAAGGTTCATCAGTATGTCTGACTGCTGAAATGAACACAGGACTTTGTTGTAGGTTGATATTTTTATTCATTAAATCTTCTGTAAACATACTGAGTTAATACATCAATTAGGCGGTTTACTGCAAGATATTACAACTGTTAAGAACAAAACAAATAAAATAGTCTTAGTTAATTGAGCTAAGTCATACACATGTTCACGCAGATCTCAGTTGTTTAGTCTATCGCTTGTTTGTCAGAATATTTCTCCATGGGAACTACAAGTCGGTTATAAAGATTCAGTGAACAATATTACAAATATTACAATGTCCTGGTTTTCAAGAAACTCTTTTGACAAATGGATTATCGATGATTATTTGCCAAATATGGATAGACATTCATCCTTTGTGTTCTAAATGAAACAAGCACAAGATCTGACTTCATGACTTTCATAAACAAGAAACAAAATACAAGAATAACATCTTCTACACTGTACAAGCAACAAGCCAATATGTACAATATCTACCCTACTCCAGCAGACTGTCCTCTCGTCTACCAGTCTCTCCCTTTCAACTACATGAAGATCCTTAGATCAACAAGATCTCTATGATGGGGATCTAAAATTGAATCATACAAACTAAATTTTAAGAATTTTCTTTAGACCAATGATTATGTGGGATGTGATAGGGAATACGACTAAGGTGGTTCCGGAGCCTAGAGACCAATATTTGGGACAGTCTGACTGAATTTCATTACTCAGGGAGAGTTCTTCCTTGGGACAGATATCTTAGAGTTCTGGATCATAGTGTTATACAGTAACATTCTATGATGATCATTTGGGACAGACACAATATTACATTGTCATCTTGTTTTACAGAGCTGCCCTACATTTGTTAGAGTTAAAACATAAGAGTGTTATTAAACTGACATGTTTTTGATGTAACTGAAGTCAAATCAGCTCTCTCAATGATTCAGTGTGTAGTTAAAACTTCCTGCCTTCTGCAAACTGATGAAGAGCAAGAAAACTGGACTGGCCTTAATGCATATCATATGCCTTTACACTTTTAGATCTGGGGTCAAAACTCCAGAGTTCTATATTGTAGGGTTGTGATGTTTTACATCTTGAGTTGGCCCTGACTCCTGCGGAGGTTCTAGTTGTCAGGGGAAACAGCACCACCCTGTATGGAACTAATATTCTGGTTATATGACCTGTAGGCTCACAAAGAACATTAAACTATCAGTAGGAAACTGCCATAGATGACACCAATGTCCCCGGAAGTCTGGAGTCATATCCTGGTTACAGGAGAACAACATGAATTCCCTCAGTAATTTCGAGATGTAGTAATGAATGGCCCATTTAAACAGTGAGTGCCAAATACAGGCAGCGGAGTTGTCTTCCCTGAGTTGTAAATGCTTGGTCGGGCAGAGTGAGATGGCAGATACCACTGTAGTCTCTTCAAGAACTCTATTGTCATGGGACATATCATCATCTTAAATTCCAAGGATAATATAAATCTTGTGAATAAAAACATAGTCTCATACTGATAGCTTTATGACAAAAATGATACAAACTCGTAAATTAATTAGAATAGCCTGTTATACAATAATCATTGCAAGACATAAACGTGTAAGCAAGCTCCATGCCCTGCCCAAGAGCACATGCAGTGCAGGGAGTTTATGGCACAGGGCAAACATAAAAGAGCCCCAATCCAAAGTAGACAACCATTACATGAATATCACATGTCCAAATCTGTCAACAAAACATGACCTTTGTAGCATGCCCTACAAGACCATGTAGACATTTCTATTACACAAAATAGAAGGATGCTGAATTACTGATTGCATCGCTGAACAAACTGTTCATATTTGCCTTAGTAACAGAAAAAAAGATACTTTGTCACTTGAACTGTAGTGTTTGCAGATTTTAGACTCAGCACTTATAGTGATATCTTCTCCGGGTAAGAAGCTTTGACATCAAATCTATACTAGTATAGGTACCATAAAGATTATGTTGTTACCATGGTTACTGCATGATATGTGTAAGATAACCATGACAACAGATGTGTTAGTACTATTGTGTCTATGTATTCTGTAGACCTACACTACAAGATTGTTTAGGGTTATCTTCTGGCTATGACGTATCAGTACCGACAGCGTTAGACACTACTCCTGGGGAGACTTCCAAAACCAAACAAACAGCTTTGCATGTGTTACAACACTGAAACATGTCTAGATGAACAATTATGAAAAGATGGCAAACTTGAACGTAATCATGAAAGACCACTCGAAACATGTAGGCACATCATTGATGATTGGGAGACTTTCATTATGCTTGGTAAATGAATATATTCACAAACTTCAAACAGAGTCTAATTTGTCATCAGACAAGAGTCTGATGAGGATGATGTGTGTCTTTAAAGAGACGACATTAAGCAGGGGACAGCTGGCCATCGGTCGGCTTCATGGGGTTCACCTGGACTATTTTCACATAGAGACAAATACTCAGCAAGAATGGTCACCAGACGCTGCCACTGTGAACAGAGGTTGTTGTACACAAAGTAGGATGGACACTCCATTCCTGATTATGGGATGAACATAAAATGAACACAAGTATATGTACAATCTCTCTGGCTGCAACGAACACAATAGACCCACTCTCGCTCGAACACTCTCACACACACGCCCCATCCGCTCATTGGCTGTAGCCATCTCCATCTATTCCTCGGACCAGTTCCACCATACAATCAAATTTTACAAATAAATACCAATAAAATTTGCATCATTAATTTTGTTAACAAATGATTGTTACAAAAAACATGTCGTAGGCCATCAACTGTTTCTACTAGACAACAAATAATTGAGTATTTCCATCACTAACAACAGTTACCTAATCCCAGTGTTTTGTGGCAGACGACATAGTCCATGAGCAGACGACATTGTCCTTGAACAGACGACATAGTCCATGAACAGACGACATAGTCCATGAGCAGACGAAATTGTCCTTGAACAGACGACATTGTCCTTGAACACACGACATAGTCCATGAGCAGACGACATTGTCCATGAGCCGATGACACTGTCCATGAACCGATGACACTGTCCATGAACAGATCACATTTAAAATGAATGCTAGTATTTACATTTGGTTGACAGTACACATATCCTGATACTTCCCACTGCATAGTGCCACAAATCCTCCATTCTGAAGACATCCACATGCATGATCTTTCCTTCTTCTGAATGACATCTGCTTTCTGAATGACTGGTGTTCTGTTGACTGCTCACTTTTAGATTGACATCTGTTTCTAAATGATGACTTTTCTAAATGATGTCTGGTATTTTAAAGGAGCCTGCTTTCTGATTAGCATCTGCTTCTTTTGGCTGTCTGCTTTTGGAATGACGTCTGCTTCTTAAAATTAAACACATTTGTATTCTGAATAATGTCTGCTGGCTAAATGATGTATATTTCTGATTTCTCAGGCCACTTTCTGATGGCTTTGTCTACTGGTTAAAGTATGATTTCAAATGAGGTCTGTTGTTAAATAAACATCTGTTGTAAGAATGACATCTGTTTGGCAACTGTTCAATGGTGGTGTTGCCTTCTACTGGGAGGATCGTGCCCTATGCTTGTAGATATGATGGAGGGAAGATGCAATGGTAACAGAAACATGAGGTGGTTAAAGATGCCTGAATGCAGGAGTGTATCTGTGTGTGTGAATGTCTGTGGTATTGTGTTAATCCTGGTCACAATGATGATGTGATGCCAGATGGGGAATCTCTGTTCATCTCTGTGTGTCATGGCGGAGCTCTGACTGATCATCTGGTTTGTCAAAGTATCCACATCCTGTCACGCCCACCTCCCTCGCGCCATGTCACTGAAACGGAGAAATGGAACCGTCACACATGGCAAAAACCTACAAACAAAAATAACATGGACATTTGATAACTCTTATGGTTGATAGGTTCCTGATTTTGGTTAGAATGGAAGTTACCAATCCTTTCCTACTGAGCTGTTGTGCATTAACAGTCGCAGCTTTCAATAAAACTCACTGTTATGTATTCTGTCTTTCACTTATGACTTATCAGCCTGAAAGTAAAGCTGATGTCAGATACAGAGTATCCTTCATACAGATCAAGGTTAGTATTTTGTCTCAGCCTGCCTCTCTGGTAATCACTGTTCTTCTACCTACTGACACATGTTAGTATTTTGTCTGCAGCCTGCCTCTCTGGTAATCACTGTTCTTCTACCTCCTGACACATGTTAGTATTTTGTCTCAGCCTGCCTCTCTGGTAATCACTGTTCTTCTACCTCCTGACACATGTTAGTATTTTGTCTCAGCCTGCCTCTCTGGTAATCACTGTTCTTCTACCTCCTGACACATGTTAGTATTTTGTCTCAGCCTGCCTCTCTGGTAATCACTGTTCTTCTACCTCCTGACACATGTTAGTATTTTGTCTCAGCCTGCCTCTCTGGTAATCACTGTTCTTCTACTTACTGACACATGTTAGTATTTTGTCTCAGCCTGCCTCTCTGGTAATCACTGTTCTTCTCCTGACACTGACACATGTTAGTATTTTCTACCTCTCAGCCTCAGCCTGCCTCTCTGGTAATCACTGTTCTTCTTCCTACTGACACATGTTAGTATTTTGTCTCAGCCTGCCTCTCTGGTAATCACTGTTCTTCTTCCTACTGACACATGTTAGTATTTTGTCTCAGCCTGCCTCTCTGGTAATCACTGTTCTTCTTCCTACTGACACATGTTAGTATTTTGTCTCAGCCTGCCTCTCTGGTAATCACTGTTCTTCTTCCAACTTACTCACGTTTGTATTTTGTCTCAGCCTGCCTCTCTGGTAATCACTGTTCTTCTACTTACTGACACATGTGTGCCACAGACTTGACATCATATATTTCTTAAAGGAAATCTCTTTCAAGATTTGTTTTTGGTACAATTGTTTTTGATAATAACCCATGTGATATAACTAAACCTGACACCAACAACAAATGGTTATTTGAGGTAATGTGCTGGATAAGTGTATATGTTTGGAGTTTGAGTGTTGGTCACAGTTTTCAGGCTAACAACATCTTGATAATGCTTATACTTTGAAAAGATTTACTGCTGCCAAGCAATTATGAACTTGCATGAAGTGTTTGATATATTCCAGGGTATGAAAGATTTTGGGCTGCTTTTAGCAATATTCCAGCAACATCATGAATGGGGACCCTGGGCTTAATGCATCGTACCCTGGAGGACTTGAACCCTAATTTCAGCCTGATGAGCCAGGACCATATCACCTGGCTATCCCACCGCCCCTAAATACATGATGATAGACAACACTATAGTGTCCGCTGTCATCTTAATCTGTATTGTTTTAGTTCTTAAAACTTTCAGTTCCAGGGGTTTTCATTTTTTAAGAATGCATTATTGATGGAAAATGTACATTGTATTTGGAGAGGTATTGAGGATTTGTATGTGTAACTAATGATAAGCTTGCATGGATCACCGACAGACCAACATCATCTATAAAATGGTAGATTCACACCACATTTCTCTCTTCTGATTTCTGTTTACCAATGCTGATTACCAGCATTCTAGACTTGTGTTTACTAATCAAGATGGGTTTTCATAAATCCACAGTCTTCTTGCCATTTAATCATCATGTCCGCAGGTGTAGTGATCATGTCTTGTCACAGGTGTAGTGATCATGCCTTGTCACAGGTGTAGTGATCATGCCTTGTCACAGGTGTAGTGATCATGCCTTGTCACAGGTGTAGTGATCATACCTTGTCACAGGTGTAGTGATCATGCCTTGTCACAGGTGTAGTGATCATACCTTGTCACAGGTGTAGTGATCATGCCTTGTCACAGGTGTAGTGATCATACCTTGTCACAGGTGTAGTGATCATACCTTGTCACAGGTGTAGTGATCATGCCTTGTCACAGGTGTAGTGATCATGCCTTGTCACAGGTGTAGTGATCATGCCTTGTCACAGGTGTAGTGATCATACCTTGTCACAGGTGTAGTGATCATACCTTGTCACAGGTGTAGTGATCATGCCTTGTCACAGGTGTAGTGATCATGCCTTGTCACAGGTGTAGTGATCATGCCTTGTCACAGGTGTAGTGATCATCCCTTGTCACAGGTGTCGTGATCATGCCTTGTCACAGGTGTCGTGATCATCCCTTGTCGAGTCAAATGTCATGATGTAACTTCTTCCACATACAGTGTTTATCATTGACATGACACACTGACATCTGCCAAACATATGTTTCATATCTTTGTGCTTTGCGCATGCACCTTGTGGATGGATACAGCACTATATATATACTCATCATTATTATCATTCTATCTTCAAGTGACACCTCAGATGCTGCAGTGTCCATGACTACAGAGTTGAGAGATGGATACTTTATTCATTCAATGCGACATTTCAGTGAATGTGCGAGAGACTTTATGCTGAAAGTGCAATTGCTTGATACAGGCACCATACTGAAATGTCACTCAGAAATCTGAAATATGTAAGACAATCTTCCCAAGAAGTATGACTCGGATAATTCACATAAAAGGCTGACAATGGACTTGAATCTAACATTTAAATGTTAGACAGCTGAACAGCATCAGGTGCCTGTAAGCAAAGATTCCTTGAACAGAGGTAACAAGTCTGCATGGTATGGCTGGCTGCCAGGAGACTAACCCACCAAACTGTTACTGATGATCACTGTAAATCACACCTTTCAGTTAGAAACATTATTCAATCAAGGCATGTTTGAAGTTTCCCCTGGGTCAGCACAGTCACTATTGTCCTGGCTTATCCCCAGGGCTTGGGACTGGGGGGAAGGGATTGTTAGGGTTACCCCCTAATGAAGTGTTGAGAGGGGATGTAGGGGTCTGTGAGAGGGCCAATATTTGCACAGTGTCTGATAAAGGGATAAGCCCTGCAGGGCAACAGGTGTCTGGTCAGGGTCACTTGACCACTGCCTCACTGCTGGTGGAAAGTTACCAGGGGTCATCTCAAACCTCCCATAGAAATTTGTATCAAACCAAAATAGCATCACCAGGTTGGAGAGGATGTGTTCCCATGGTAGTGAGAGAGGGTTGATGCCACATATCAGGCCATGGTGAATGGCGTGTGATCAGATGAATGAAAACAATGTGAAACTGAGTAAGAGTGGACTGTAACAATTACAGTGCATCTTTACTGTTACAGATGCATTTGTATACATAAAGGTCAGAATATATGAATGTCAACTTCTTCTTTTGAAGAACATGACATTTCAGAGTATATTCTTACTCCTTCACCTGATGAAGATCACTTCAAAATGCCATTCAAAATGTCACTCCATTTGTATACAGTTTGTGTCTTTCTCATACATAGACATTTATGTCTATCTGTATGATTGTAACTGCCCTTTCACCTCCATCTCACTATTGAGATGGTCCCTCCACACAATGGTGACCAGTAGTGAATTGCGGCCAGTCAGCGGACTAAGGATTAACCGCTACATGGGTTTACACAGCATTGAGAGATAGGAGAGAAAGGAGTCTGCACTCTCACCAGGTTTATTCACAGCTGGCTGTTGCCCCATATCACGGTCCGATTACTTTTTACTTCCCCTCATGAATATGTTTCAATCTAGACTAACACTTAGTCTCTCATTATATATAGTTTCATAAAAAACCCAACTCCATTTAAATTAAAAAGGAGCCCCTTGAACCTGAGAAACATCTAGACTTACTTCATTTAGGGCTTATTGCACTGCAGAAAAGGTTCGGTAAAAGGGAAAAGAATGTGGTGTGGGGTCTGTGAAACATGCTACTTTGAATCAATAATTCATTGATTTCATATCTGAGGTATTGAGGGAAACGCTTAACACAATATTATGATAGACGGAAGGCGTTAGCTTTGGTTGTGGTCTGAATAACAGATTGCCTGCTTTTGAATTTGGTGCTACGACATTTTCTGTTTTTAAATAATAATGTCATGAATATATATATGTTTTCAAAATAAAACTGACCGCCTCCGTGGTGTAGTGGTTACAGCGTCCGCCCGGAGAGAGCGGAAGACGCGGGTTCGATCCCCGACCGCGTCATACCAAAAGACGTTAAAATATTATACTTGTTGGTCCCTGCCTGGCGCTCGGCATTAATGGGTACAACAAGGACTGGTCGGCTTGGAGTCAGTATAATGTGTCTGAGTGGGGTATTCATGCTTCACTGCGGCATGGTATCTCAGTGGGCTAGCACTATAAAAAAACAGCTTAAGTCTGGGCTAGTACAAGCAGCCGCACATACACATACACGCATGCACGTCGTCATATGAGCGAAATATTCTCGAGCACGACGTAAAACCCAATTTCACCTCACCTCTAGTCAAAATAAAACTCATTTATACTTTGTACTTAAAATGTGTATGAATACAGACTTGTTCTCGTCACTACATCATGGCTGGAATAACGCCGATGTAACGTAAAACTCAACTCAACTCAACTGATAGCTGTTGGTGAACAACACTGCTGACTCAGCAGGTTTCACTTATATCTGTTGGTGTCATTCACACTAATTTCTGTCAACTTTGAATATCTATGAGTATATCTGAATGAAAGATTCATTTGATTGACTGAGGTGTTACAACAGTCATTACACACAAGATATAATTGATAATAAAGTATTAATTACATCCCCACCCAGTAAACATGTCAAGTTGGAGACTTCACTACACAATTGCACAAGTTATTCAATGTGTAAACACAAAGTGTTTGATTGTTTTCACAACTTGCCATTTCATGTAATCTCAACACAGACAATGTTACTCAATATTTCATTGTAACAAACAACCTTATAAATCTGTGTAAACTTCTTCACGGCCCATCACAGTTAACATATGCTGTTTCTGTGGTGTGTGACACACAGTCACAGTTGCAGTCTGTTCATTAACAGTCCAATTAACAGCAAGTCATTAATTACCATCACTCCCAGGCAGACCCCAGGCAGTGTCAGCTTGTGGGAGCCTGCCCCATATCGTACCTCCCCCATGTTGGAGAGTTGGCTGCCCATTGTAAACAGATTACATGCCCAGGACATAAACAATTATATATCATCTCTAGTCGAGATGAGCCCGAGATAAACCCCGGACAAATCTAGAACATTCAGAAAATGCTAAACCATAACAATGGAACACATGTTATATTTGGAATTACACTTTCTTAGTAAAGTACAGATTCTAGTACTTTTGTTGGGTGTAGTTCCATGCAGGACATTGTGAAAGGTAATGTGTGCTGCAATCTGATTGTTGAAAAATGTTGTTAAATTGGATGTAAAACCTGGAAATCATCCTGACAATTTTACTCTGAATGAGTATTTTTTCCATAAGAAAGCTGAAAACCCCACCTGATTTCTTCATGACATTACAGACTAACTTCATATGAAAGAAAAGTGCAATATTTAACTACTTTTGTATAGTAAATTTGCCATATTTGATATACATTGCAACTGTCAAGGCAACAAGCCATCAGATATTGCATTCCATCAATATTTTGACCATGATCGAACTTGTTCATGTTGAATTTTTACATGATTTTGCTGATCTTGCAGGTTCAGTCTGTCTGATCAGTTTACCATCAGAGTGTATGCTTTCATACAAATAACACAAATTATCAGTTTGTTTATGTATTAAGGAGATTGTATTCAATATTTATTACTTTTAGCTGTTTGAGTAATTAACCTGCTATGCTGTTGTGTGTTTATCATGGGGACATCTGTTTCTGCATCTGTTGTATATCACAAGACTTATATCGGTCTTCATCTCCAACACTCTGCAGGCCGACATGCCGATATGTCCTATACACCTGGCACCAGGTGTGAGCATTGTCCTTTGATTGTTCCTTGTGATAACAGTGGGACAATGGCATTGTGTCATGGGACAACCATCTCCCTGCATGCCAGGTCTGTGTGAGACACTGTCACAGATGGTCAGCCTAAGGCAACACAGAAGACTCAACCTTGATGTGTGACCACTGTGTATGACTTGCCATCTATTGTCAACATCATTACCAGTCTATGTCACTTGCCACACATTGTCAACATACAGTGACCTGTCTGTGTCACTTGCCACACATTGTCAACATATGGTGACCAGTGTGTATGACTTGCCATCTATTGTCAACATCATTACCAGTCTATGTCACTTGCCACACATTGTCAACATATGGTGACCAGTGTGTGTCACTTGCCACACATTGTCAACATATGGTGACCAGTGTATGTCACTTGCCACATATTGTCAACATATGGTGACCTGTGTGTGTGTGTGTGTGTGTCACTTGCCACATATTGTCAACATATGGTGACCTGTATGTGTCACTTGCCACATATTGTCAACATATGGTGACCAGTGTGTGTCACTTGCCACACATTGTCAACATATGGTGACCAGTGTGTGTAACTTGCCACATATTATCAACATACAGTGACCAATGTGTCACTTGCCACATATTATCAACGTACAGTGACCAGTCTGTGTCACTTGCCACACATTGTCAACATACAGTGACCAGTTTATGTCACTTGCCACACATTGTCAACATAATTACCAGTCTGTGACTTGCCACACATTGTCAACATACAGTGACCTGTCTGTGTCACTTGCTACACATTGTCAACATACAGTGACCTGTCTGTGTCACTTGCTACACATTGTCAACATCCAGTGACCTGTGTGTGTCACTTGCCACACATTGTCAATGTACAGTGACCAGTCTGTGTCACCTGCTACACATTGTCAACATATAGTGACCAGTTTATGTCACTTGCCACACATTGTCAACATAATTACCAGTCTGTGACTTGCCACACATTGTCAACATACAGTGACCTGTCTGTGTCACTTGCTACACATTGTCAACATACAGTGACCTGTCTGTGTCACTTGCTACACATTGTCAACATATAGTGACCAGTTTATGTCACTTGCCACACATTGTCAACATAATTACCAGTCTGTGACTTGCCACACATTGTCAACATACAGTGACCTGTCTGTGTCACTTGCTACACATTGTCAACATACAGTGACCTGTCTGTGTCACTTGCTACACATTGTCAACATCCAGTGACCTGTGTGTGTCACTTGCCACACATTGTCAACATACAGTGACCTGTCTGTGTCACTTGCCACACATTGTCAATGTACAGTGACCTATCTGTGTCACTTGCCACACATTGTCAACATTATGATGTTGTATGTCACTTGCCACACATTGTGACATACACAATGTGACATGCTCAATAATCAAATTAGTAACACTTTCATCAACCATATGAATACCACATTCCATTACATAGATAACACTGTCCATTAACCACATTGATAACACTTTCTGTTAAATATAAGAATAACACTTTCTGTTAAATATAAGAATAACACTTTCTGTTAAATATAAGAATAACACTTTCTGTTAAATATAAGAATAACACTTTCCATGAACTACACGAGTAACACTCTCATTAACCATATCGATAACACGTTCCATTGAATGTTTTGCAAACCTTATTCAATAACAGTTTAATTATTTGACAAAATGTCCATGTCATCAGTCACAGGAGGGCTTTGTCCAGGTGAGCTAAAACTATGGCTGTTGATTACTTATCAAATAATGGAGGAATATATGGTGAAGATTAGCCAGAACATGCTGTCTGACATTTGAAGGTCAATGGACGATCATTAATTCTAGAGAGGAGAACCTGTACATACTTCAGTGGGAAAAACAAGGGTATTAAACTGTCAGGCTTCTATCAGCTCTCTTCAGATAGCTGGTGTTCTTGTCACTGACCATGTGATTATCTGACCAGCTGATACAGTGGACATAGGGCAGCTGTATTGTACAGCTGTGACCTAGAGTCTCGGGCAGGGAAATAACGGAGGTATTTACTGGGAGATACCAGTGGTACATGCTTGTAGATACTGGGGCTACATTCTGGAGATAACAGTAAACATGACAGAGGAGACATCACCGAGACTTTTGGCTGACGCTGTTACTTGTACAGGCAAACACCAACATCCACATTGTCTCTTTTACCATACACTGTTGAAACTACTTAACAATGATCATTGTGTGATGCCTGGTCAATGGTCATCCCATGACTGGAGATACAGACATGTCCATTTTGTTGGTACACTTATGATACACTTATAAATACACTCTAACTGGTACACAGAATATCTTCATTGTGTATCTGTAACTCTAACATGAGTGAGTGAGTGAGTGAGTGAGTGAGTGAGAGGGGTTTATCATTATTCGAGTTATTCCATGGCTTGTTAGCTTCACATCGGTCGGAAGCCTGAAGTTATGTAGGTGAAACCAACAGCTATGGTGCTGATACACCTAGATGATTGGGATTCAAACCCATGACAGTTGGTTTCATGGGTGCTTTGTGCTGCCAACTGCAGCACTTAGTTGATCCAGTAACTGGAACATGGAAGGGTTACAACAGGAATACAGAGTAGCCGAAGTCACGCCCATATTCCACCTCACCAATTCTACTTGATGTTGTCAAGGTCAGCACGGGGAGCTTGGGTGTATTGCTACTTTTATCAATAATATCACAGTATCATGGTGGGGACATCAATGAAGATTCTTGTACCCACATGGGAGATGAACTAAGACTTATGGTGTGACAAGTTAGTGCTGTTACCAACAGGCTGTTATCTGCCCATGACGGTCTAGACAAGTTGTCGTCAAGTTGTTTGATGTTTAATGCCACACATAGCAATATTTCAGCGTCATGATACCTGTCTGTGATATATCAGGGAGTGATCGATGTCGTGAGCACTCAGTCAACCAAATCATCGAGTTTGACCCTTATCCCATCTCTAGCGACAGGCATAGTTTACTGGCGAGACATTGTCAGCCAGGTACGACATACCTGATGACAGGTTACCTGAAACATACTGGTCAACTCCTCACTGTCGGTGGTTTACAAAGTTTATATACTGAACTTTTTTCTTTGTACACACAAGTGCTCACATGGATTAATGCTTACTTCAGGTATTGTGATAAGATAATACTGTTGACTGACTCCAGGGAGACTCAGCTGTTGAAACATTTTAAATATGAATTCTTTATCAGTTCATTACATCATAGCAATAAACATGACACTTCTGGAAAGATGTAATAGTTCTTCATGCAATATTTGTTGGATTATAGTAAAATGTTCGTAAGATGTTACACCATGATGCATTGTGGTATGTATGATATAAAGAGAAGCCAAGTTATGTGATAAATACATATTTTAGAAATGTTCTCATATACTAGGTTGATACATGTCGTATTTCACATGCTCATCACTCAAGTGTCCCTGGGCATGTACCTCTATCCCTGCCTCGAGATAAGCACTGAACCACATGGTGCACCACATGGTGTGCGTGTACCTGCATCCCTGGGTTGATATATCCCACATGCCATCACTCGGTGCCCAAGTGCACATGACCCATGCAGTGTTGTCAGATTCATATGGTGGAACCACAAATTACTGGCATAATTAAAACAAAATGCGAGATAGTGCAATGATAGTGATAGAGGCAGATTAGTGTATATATGGACATTGACATTCTAATGTAAAGGATATTCAAACATATATGTTTCCAGTTGATGGAGTCCAAGTGCTGCTGATGGTGGTGGCTGATTATCAAACTGTGAGTGTGTATGTTGGCTGAGTTCTACAACAAGTATGTTTTTGGGTGAGTGAGTGAGTTTAGTTTTACGCCACACTCAGCAATATTCCAGGTATACGGCGGCGATCTGAAATAATCGAGTCTGCGCCAGACAATCCAGTGATCAACAGCATGAGCGTTGATCTGCACAATTGGGAACCGATGACATGTGTCAACCAAGTCAGTGAGCCTGACCACCCGATCCCATTAGTTGCTTCTTATCTTACGACAAGCATGGGTTACTGAAGACCAATTCTAACCTGATCTTCGTGGGTCAGTATGTCTCTGGACCTGTGTGAAGGTGGGGGTTATCAAGTTGATGTATCGGCTGAACTGAGTTTTGAAATGATGGGGATTTAACATAACATGGCCTAACCCTGCATGTATATTAGTCAACAAGAGTGCACTGTGTAATTAACGCAAATCATCCACAATAAAGCGCCATACCTGATCTATGGCCGCAAGATCTTGCGCTGCTTACGTCGGGATTTGAGCAGCGAGCGGGTACTTCTGGCCTCATAACTTGTGTCCCCACATCCCGAGATTGGCAATCCATCATTACCTAGTGGACAAGGTGCATCCAGTCCAGGCAGGCCCTATAATGCATGCATGCATTCAAGGTCATAGTTCAAGGTCATAAGTAGTTAGATGTGTAAAATTACGAACAACATTCACATGCAGACAACAAAAACAGCCAAAGTCACGTCTATAGACGCAAGTGTAAGTTTTCAGGATTTTTTACTATCTGTTTATAGCAATATCTCAGAGGATCCAGCGGCCTTGAAATCTGCATGCTATAAACAGATCTGATTTGTTCCGTTCGTAATTAAACACTTGGCATGACTATGTTGCATATATTTCATATCATTCCAGGAGGCTGGGGTGCAAGCATTAGGGCAGCAAGCAAAGAGGTCAAAGGTTACCTGGTTCGGTGGCATCCTCCAACCACAACCGGGCAGAGGGAGCCCGTCAGGACCGATGGGACAGGGAGCGTCTAGCCCGGGGCTGCCCTGCACAGGGAGGAGAGTTAGTGCGGTTAGTGGCGAGACAGACAACATGGAGGCCACCACCTGGGTTATGTATATCGATATTGGGCAGCAGCAACCACAGGCAGTCAAGTGGTGCATGTCATCAGGTCAAGGTTGAACTGAGGTGAGAGGTCATGACCTTGCCTGTGTGGAAGTACAGGTGTGACAAGGTGTAGATGATCCACACCTAGTGTCTAGAGGAATGTGTGTGTGTGTGTCTGTGTGACAACATATAAAAGCAATAAAACAATGTGAGAAGCAAAGTAACTGAAAGTTTAATAAACCTTTTTAACACAGGAAAATTTAGAGCTGAATAAAACTGTTTTGAAATGTGGTTTAAAAGATAAAAATTTCTGAAAGGTTGCCTTGTTAAGGTTTGTCTGTCGAAGACGGGTGTGAAATATGAAGGTGTGTCTGTCGAAGAAGGGTGTGCAATATCAAGATTTGTCTGTCGAAGAAGGGTGTATATTAACAAGGTGTGTTCGTGACAGAAGGTATGGCTGCAATGTAACTTCCATACAAGGTGTGTCTGTCGAAGAAGGGTGTGCAATATCAAGGTGTGTCTGTCGATGAAGGGTGTGCAATATCAAGGTGTGTCTGTCGAAGAAGGGTGTACAATATCAAGGTGTGTCTGTCGAAGAAGGGTGTGCAATATCAAGATTTGTCTGTCGAAGAAGGGTGTGCAATATCAAGGTGTGTCTGTCGAAGAAGGGTGTGCAATATCAAGGTGTGTCTGTCGAGGATGGGTGTGCAATATCAAGGTGTGTCTGTCGAAGAAGGGTGTGCAATATCAAGGTGTGTCTGTCGAAGAAGGGTGTGCAATATCAAGGTGTGTCTGTTGAAGAAGGGTGTGCAATATCAAGGTGTGTCTGTCGAAGAAGGGTGTGCAATATCAAGGTGTGTCTGTCGAAGAAGGGTGTGCAATATCAAGGTGTGTCTGTCGAAGAAGGGTGTGCAATATCAAGGTGTGTCTGTCGAAGAAGGGTGTGCAAAATCAAGGTGTGTCTGTCGAAGAAGGGTGTGCAATATCAAGGTGTGTCTGTTGAAGAAGGGTGTGCAATATCAAGGTGTGTCTGTTGAAGAAGGGTGTGCAATATCAAGGCGTTTCTGTCGAATAAGGGTGTAGATGTGTGTGGTGTGTGGTGCGGGTGCAGGTGTGTGTGGTGTGAGGTGTGTTATGTGCTGTGTGTTTTTTGGCATGGTATGTGTTGTGTGTTGTGTGTCAGTGTGTGGTGTGTGCAGTGCAGTGTGTCAGTGTGGTGTGTGCAGTGCAGTGTGTCAGTGTGGTGTGTGCAGTGCAGTGTGTCAGTGTGGTGTGTGCAGTATGGTGTGTGCAGTGCAGTGTGTCAGTGTGGTGTGTGCAGTATGGTGTGTGCAGTGCAGTGTGTCAGTGTGGTGTGTGCAGTATGGTGTGTGCAGTGCAGTGTGTCAGTGTGGTGTGTGCAGTATGGTGTGTGCAGTGCAGTGTGTCAGTGGTGTGTGTGCAGTATGGTGTGTGCAGTGCAGTGTGTCAGTGTGGTGTGTGCAGTGCAGTGTGTCAGTGTGGTGTGTGCAGTGCAGTGTGTCAGTGTGGTGTGTGCCGTGCCGTGTGTGCAGTGTGGTGTGTCAGTGCGGTGTGTGCAGTGTGGTGTGTCAGTGTGGTGTGAGCAGTGTGGTGTGTCAGTGTGGTGTGAGCTGTGTTATGTGCTGTGTGTTTTTTGGCGTGGTATGTGTTGTGTGGTGTGCAGTGTGTGGTGTGCGGTGTGTGGACAACTTGTAGGCTGGGGATGCTGCTTGGAGATGCGAGGAAAGCCAAAGCCAGGAGGTCGCCAGAAGCTCCCAAACAGAAAGACACAGATGCTGAAAGCGTGCTACAGTTGACATGAGATGTTGGTTGGATCTATCCTACTATCACAGTAGAAGCTTCCCACACATCGGGAAAAGCATTGAGGAGGGAAATGGGAAATCTTTATTTCATTGGCTTAAATTCTGATTGAAGAAAATAATATAATAACAATATATCAATATACCTGATGAACTGAAAAGAAAGAGTACAAGTTCTAAAACCCACAGCCCTTACAGTCATGCAGGCGAATTAGGACGTAAAACAACACTGATGTCAACCTGTAGAAGTATGTTCAGTATCATACAACTGTCTGAGCCATGGCTGCATGGCATGGCAGCCAGCTCCAGAAGAGCAAGATGGGGAGGGGGCAGTGTGTCGATGGCTGGAGTTGACATAAGTAGGGACGGGGAGGGCAGGTGGAGTGAGGAGGGGGGAGTGTGTGAATGGCTGGAGTTGACAGAAGTGGGGACGGGGAGGGCAGGTGGAGTGAGGATGGGTGTGTGTGTTGATGGCTGGAGTTGACAGAAGTGGGGATGGGGTGGGAAGGGCAGGTGGAGTGAGGAGGGGTGTGTGCATCGATGGCTGGAGTTGACAGAAGTGGGGACGGGGAGGGCAGGTGGGGTGAGGAGGGGGGAGTGTGTCGATGGCTGGAGTTGACAAAAGTGGGGACGGGGAAGGGAGGGCAGGTGAATGCAGTGGAGTGAGGATGGGGGAGTCAGCTGGCTCAATGATAATCACTCGGAGTGCAGTAGTGAAGAGGCTTACTGGGAAACAGGGTTTATCAAGGTTGCCACAGATGTAGATGGACACAGCGTGTCACTCATGTCTCAGCTCTGGTAATTTATGACGTTGTTCAGATAAGCTTTACAACATCAGTTTGGGTCTCAATGGATTGACTTTGGTCGCTGTTTCTAGGCAACACCCTGGATGGTGGGTATGGTGCTGGTACAGTAAGCTGCCTCCACCTCTGTATGTGATAAGTTTGTTATTCAATGTCCTTACAAACTCAGTCACAAGGAGTTAACAGTTATAATACCATCTGAAGGAAGGGTGCTGACTCATCACATTCTGTTTTGTTGATTTTTTACTGAAAGGTACTCATCATAATGTAAGGCCAAAAGGTCAGTCACCCTACCCATGTGTGGTACTGAGAAACTATGTAAGCACAGTACACAGTGAAACAAGCCTGGTTTGTCTGTGACCACCTCGGTCCATCACCAAACACTGGTGTCTGTGACCACCTCGGTCCATGACCAAACACTGGTGTCTGTGACCACCTCAGTCCATCACCAAACACTGGTGTCTGTGACCACCTCGGTCCATCACCAAACACGGGTTTGTCTGTGTCCCCCTCAGTCCATCACCAAACACTGGTGTCTGTGACCACCTCGGTCCATCACCAAACACTGGTGTCTGTGACCACCTCGGTCCATCACCAAACACTGGTGTCTGTGACCACCTCTGTCCATGACCAAACACTGGTTTGTCTGTGACCACCTCGGTCCATGACCAAACACTGGTTTGTCTGTGACCACCTCTGCCCATCACCAAACACTGGTGTCTGTGACCACCTCGGTCCATCACCAAACACTGGTTTGTCTGTGACCACCTCGGTCCATGACCAAACACTGGTTTGTCTGTGACCACCTCGGCCCATCACCAAACACTGGTGTCTGTGACCACCTCGGTCCATCACCAAACACTGGTTTGTCTGTGACCACCTCGGTCCATCACCAAACACTGGTTTGTCTGGCACATGATATCAATACATTATTGTACTTGGACAGCACATATTAGCCAGGCAATTCTCAAGTTATCTCCATTTCAACTTTGGTATGGTTTGGGGCCAATTTAAGCAAGAAAGCAAGAAATAAACATGACATATTCTAGCCATGTTGGGAACCCAGGCCTACAGTGTGGTGATGAGTGAATGCATTAACCACTACACTACCCTGCCGTTCCTTATCTAAGTCATGTCACAGTGATCGCAACATGTTTACTTGATTCAAAGCTGTTGTCTACTTGTGAAGCAATGAATGACATTTGGAAGGGTCCCAGGAATAAGCAAGGTGAAGGTCAGATAAGTTTTTAGACATTGATGCTGGAGATTGAAGGGCAGAAACTAATGTCAACATGTCGTTTATCAGTCAGGACAACAAGTGCTACAATCTTTTGTCGATAATGATACTGCCAGAAAGTAATGAGATGAAAGTCCTTGAGTAATGAGAGTCAACAGAGTGGCATAGTTTGTCACCTGTGTTATCTTCGGGAAGCAGATCATACCACTTGCTGTAACACCTGTACTAGAAAGTTCTTATACTTTGCACTCACTTTGATTGTGACTTGCCTAGGTTTCAACGGGTTTGGGGAAATGGGGAGAAAAGGTGGTGGACAGGGGAGAGGAATGGAGGGGGGGAGAAGAGGGGAATTTGTGTGTGGGGGAGAGAGAGAAGGGTTTAGGCACTTTCTGTCAAAATCATAACTGTATGGATTGTGGAAATGATATGGGTTAAACTCCCTCAAAGAGTTGGCCACCATACTATAGGGAAGTTTAAGGGAAGAAAGACTCAAAAATGTATATCTTTGGCCACATACTGAAGAAATCTCCAGCTGTATCACTGACATTCTCCCCAGTGGATGTTCAAGGAGATGGGGACCTACAGAGAAGCAAATTTCCAGATTTATCTGGGCAAGGAACAGAAGAAATATTCAGGGAGAATCCAGCTTCAAACATACTTTGTGAAAAAAACATCAAACTTCAGAGAATTCAATTCATTACTCCTTACACAACAACTACTTAATTCTAAGCTCCCTCATTTCCCACAAATACTTTAACTGGACAGAAGGATACAAATGTGTATTAAAACTATTTGTTATATTCACTAATAATCATGTGAATATGTTTACAATTTTGTATGCTTTGATGTAATTTTGAGAGATAAAATGAAAACATCTGTCAATGAATAGAGTAGCAGTACAATGTAGTGAGGAACACCCCACAGAGATGGAACCCAGACTGTGAGGGTGGGGCTACCTCCAACACCCATGTGACCAGGGGACTTGGCGGAGGGGTGCAGCTACAATGTAAGGGGGGTATAAAGGAGTACACAACCCCACATCTCTACCCTTGATTGGCCAGTGCACTACCCTAACAGAGAACCTGACTAGTTACTGAAACTATGGTAGTCTGCTGTTGGTAATGGACGTTGTTGTTGTAAGGAGGCTGTGATACCCGTCACCAGCATGTTAATAAAGAAGGGTTAGTGAAGGAACGAGTTAAATGCCAGGCTTTTGACACCAGAGCCAGTTTGCCCTCAACCTGAACATATAATGGACTAAGTATATTGTTCTGATGGCTGGAGAGACATATATCTGAGTTTTATGATCAGACACCACACGTCCAGACATCTATAGGTCCAGCTGACAACCGGTACTACCAACCTGACCCCCTTTCTCTCCCCGGGGTCCACGCTTGCCACGGCGGCCACGGCGGCCCTGAAACAAGTAGACGAACACAGCATGCATCAACACCATGCAGAAACACAAATCAACAAACCTGTTCACCCTTCGGACCCCTCTTTCCACGCCGACCACGTTTTCCCTGAAACATGTCATCTCATGTTGCAAATAACTGACAACATTTAATTTATGTTGCAATCAGATATGTCAGTGAGTGAGTGAGTGAGTGAGTGTTTTACCATCTCGGCAGCACTATTGCTACAAGCTGTGGGCCACTGAACGGTGCTAACAATGGCTCACAATGAGAGGTCCATGATGACATTCAGAACCAACTGATGACATGCAAAATCTGAAAACAGCTGATGCCACTGTTATCACCAATCCATCGATCATTGACGTCACTGTTATCACCCATCCATCAATCAGTGATGCCACTGTTATCACCAATCCATCAATCATTGACGTCACTGTTATCACCCATCCATCAATCAGTGATGCCACTGTTATCACCCATCAATCAATCAGTGATGCCACTGTTATCACCCATCCATCAATCAGTAATGCCACTGTTATAACCCATCCATCAATCAGTGATGCCACTGTTTTAACCCATCCAACAATCAGTAATGCTACTGTTATAACTCCCATACATGAATCATTGATGCCACTGTTATCACCCATCCATCAATCAGTGATGCCACTGTTATCACCAATCCATCAATCAGTTATGCCACTGTTATCACCCATCCATCAATCAGTGATGCCACTGTTATCACCAATCCATCAATCAGTGATGCCACTGTTATCACCCATCCATCAATCAGTAATGCCACTGTTATAACCCATCCATCAATCAGTGATGCCACTGTTTTAACCCATCCAACAATCAGTAATGCTACTGTTATAACTCCCATACATGAATCATTGATGCCACTGTTATCACCCATCCATCAATCAGTGATGCCACTGTTATCACCAATCCATCAATCAGTGATGCCACTGTTATCACCCAATCCATCAATCAGTGATGCCACTGTTATCACCCATCCATCAATCAGTGATGCCACTGTTATCACCCATCCATCAATCAGTGATGCCACTGTTATCACATCAATCATGCCCTGTTATCACCCATCCATCAATCAGTGATGCCACTGTTATCACCCATCCATCAATCAGTGATGCCACTGTTATCACCCATCCATCAATCAGTGATGCCACTGTTATCACCCATCCATCAATCAGTGATGCCACTGTTATCACCCATCCAACAATCAGTGATGCCACTGTTATCACCCATCCATCAATCAGTGATGCCACTGTTATCACCCATCCATCAATCAGTGATGCCACTGTTATCACCCATCCATCAATCAGTGATGGCACTGTTATCACCCATCCATCAATCACTGATGCCATTGTTATCACCCATCCATCAATCAGTGATGCCACTGTTATCACCCATCCAACAATCAGTGATGCCACTGTTATCACACATCCATCAATCATTGATGCCACTGTTATCACCCATCCATAAGCATGATACAGAGAATGAATCTAGACCTGATGACTTGAGAATACCAATGCAGCAGGCCCATCTGCAGTAGTGGGAAGTTTTTGTGTCATAATGCTTGAATTGTGAGACCAGGAAATGTCAAACATGAGGCACTAATGTCAAATGTTTTAGTGTCTTTGAGGAGAATTTAATTACAGGGACAAATGTAGATTTACATTGGACAAATGTGCCATGGGAGCAAGGGTTGGTTCTTCTTTGTAGTAAGGAAAGCATCCCAAGCAGAAACATGCACGCAAGGCAGACATGTGCATCCGATGTAGATACATGTAGCACATTCAGAGACACACATGCAGTGGTTCAATGTGAAGTGAATGCTGTTAAGACCATGCTGAGCAAATACTAAAGATACCGATTACATGCCATGTAGGTAATCAAGAAGGACATGGACTGATCTGTCTTCATGGAGTGGCACCACAGCTAGGACATGGACTGATCTGTCTTCATGCAGTGGCACCACAGCTAGGACATGGACAGTTCTGTCTACATGGAGTGGCACCACAGCTAGGACATGGACAGTTCTGTCTACATGGAGTGGCACCACAGCTAGGACATGGACAGTTCTGTCTCCATGGAGTGGCACCACAGCTAGGACATGGACTGGTCTGTCTCTATGGAGTGCCACCACAGCTAGTAGATGGACAGATCTGTCTTCATGGAGCGGCACCACAGCCAGGACATGGACAGTTCTGTCTCCATGGAGTGGCACCACAGCTAGGACATGGACAGATCTGTCTCCATGGAGCGCCACCACAGCTAGGACATGGACAGATCTGTCTCCATGGAGCGCCACCACAGCTAGGACATGGACAGATCTGTCTCCAGCCACCACATGGACATGGACAGATCTGTCTCCATGGAGCGCCACCACAGCTAGGACATGGACAGTTCTGTCTCCATGGAGCGCCACCACAGCTAGGACATGGACTGGTCTGTCTACATGGAGCGCCACCACAGCTAGTAGATGGACAGATCCGTCTCCATGGAGTGGCACCACAGCTAGGACATGGACTGGTCTGTCTCCACCACAGCTAGGACATGGACTGTTCATGGAGCCACCACAGCTAGGACATGGACTGGTCTGTCTACATGGAGCGCCACCACAGCTAGTAGATGGACAGATCCGTCTCCATGGAGTGGCACCACAGCTAGGACATGGACTGGTCTGTCTCCATGGAGTGGCACCACAGCTAGGACATGGACTGGTCTGTCTCCATGGAGTGGCACCACAGCTAGGACATGGACAGTTCTGTCTCCATGGAGTGGCACCACAGCTAGGACATGGACTGGTCTGTCGTCATGGAGTGGCACCACAGCTAGGACATGGACTGGTCTGTCTCCATGGAGCGGCACCACAGCTAGGACATGGACAGTTCTGTCTCCATGGAGTGGCACCACAGCTAGGACATGGACTGGTCTGTCGTCATGGAGTGGCACCACAGCTAGGACATGGACAGGTCTGTCATACATGCAGCTAGGACATGGACACATGGCAGCTAGGACATGCAGTAGTACACACAAAGGCTGTGTTCATTAGTGCTTTGGTTTAAGTTCATAACTGCTTACACTGATCCGTACTTAAGTGACAATCCCACAGCAAGGGAGATAACTGATTATAGAATTCCTGTTTCCACTATTGCCTTCCTGAGCTGGAATTATGGACTTTTGTCCTGGTCTGTAAATAGTCCAATCAAAATAGTATTCTGAAAATCGTTCATGTTTTTAATCAAAGTGTTTCAATGACTTCATGCACTCGATGAGGCAACACAGTGTTATTATAACAGACCTCTTGAACTGGGCTGTGCCATTAGTGTAAGTGATGTGAAACGTAAAGTGACTGGTCACTGGAGGGGCATAGTCAGGCCTACCATACAAACGGTGAACAAATCATCAAAACTGAACTCATATACACCAAAACAGAACAAAAATCACCAAAACTGCAACAATATCCTCTAAAACCGAAACAATACATCTGTACTGGAAGACTAATCGTTTGAGATGGAAACAATTCACAAAGAATGAACAAAGTTTTTGTAAACTTTTTAAATCACTAAAATACAGTAATGTTGAATGTGACGCTATGGATACTACATTTACAAAACTGAAGAGAAACAGGACCACGGCATGTTGACAAGAAATCCTATTCGGTCGAACGAGGGACCACATTGTGCAGAATTGCAAGCCTGACACTGAGAAGTATGGACATAGGTTTTAAGCTTACTACAATAGGGGGTTTATGCACTACATCCCGATATCAAATTTTCAAGATTAGACTCATAGTGACAAAAAACAATTATGTACCAAAGCCTATTCGTCTCCCCTCGCCGCCATCTTTGACAATTTGTATGCCATTTCGGGATGCTATGACTGCCGTGTTGGGATGCTATGAATGCCATTTTGTATGCTCGGCGACCGTTCTCGCGCGCTCTTGTAGCTGATACGCAAGTTTTGTTTCCATCTCAAACGATTAGTCTTCCAGAACAGATGTATTGTTTCGGTTTTAGAGGATATTGTTGCAGTTTTGGTGATTTTTGTTCTGTTTTGGTGTATATGAGATCAGTTTTGATGATTTGTTCACCGTTTGTATGGTAGGCCTGATAGTAGGGGCCTAACTCTTATAGCCACTGGTGGCGATGATCAAGCCATGAAATTCTAGCCTAGTTTGGTAACGGTGGAAACAACTTTTACAGTCAGTTAACTCCCTTGGGAAGATTGAACTTTGATTTTACCCTTCTTTTAGAACTATTCATCAGTGGGAGTCAACCGAGGCTTTCTATGCTGCCAGTGAATGTTTGAAACTACCAGCTAGGCTATCTCCCCATCACTGTTCTGTATAACAAGTGGTAGATCATATCGTACTTCTCCATCTGTTCTGTATAACAAGTGGTAGATCATATCGTACTTCTCCATCTGTTCTGTATAACAAGTGGTAGATCATATCGTACTTCTCCATCACTGTTCTGTATAACAAGTGGTAGATTATATCGTACTTCTCCATCTGTTCTGTATAACAAGTGGTAGATTATATCGTACTTCTCCATCTGTTCTGTATAACAAGTGGTAGATTATATCGTACTTCTCCATCTGTTCTGTATAACAAGTGGTAGATTATATCGTACTTCTCCATCTGTTCTGTATAACAAGTGGTAGATTATATCGTACTTCTCCATCTGTTCTGTATAACAAGTGGTAGATCATATCGTACTTCTCCATCTGTTCTGTATAACAAGTGGTAGATTATATCGTACTTCTCCATCTGTTCTGTATAACAAGTGGTAGATCATATCGTACTTCTCCATCTGTTCTGTATAACAAGTGGTAGATCATATCGTACTTCTCCATCTGTTCTGTATAACAAGTGGTAGATTATATCGTACTTCTCCATGACAGAAATGTACTGCTTGAATCAGGAAGGTTTGAAACATGACATGTCAAATGAAAATAGATACAGATTTCTATAAATCATATGGCAATGACTTAACTGTGTTTACCACTGTTTAAGATCTAGCTGCTGGTAAATATCGCCCAGCTGTCATTGGCCACTTAATGTGACAGAGCCTTTTCTCCGGTGTTCAACATGCCCATTCTACACAACCGTGCACTCGGTAAAGTATGCAACAGGTGACAATGCTTGATAGTAGAATGTTCTAAGGTGTTACAATTCAACTGTTCCGTTGCAGGATGTGGAGTAACCCAGAGATGACATTCCCACCATCGTCAGCTTTCTAACCTCTGACCATGTGGACAGTGCGAGGCAAGGCAACATGCAACATGCTTTTGTCAGATACTAAATCTCCCTGTACATCAACACAGATGTTCCATCTCTACCTTGTTTAAACTAAGGTGTAGATGAGAGTTGTTTCAGAGCGTTCAGGAGAGAGGACTGATTTGATGGTTGTGTACCAACCCCTAGAATATGTCTGTCTTGAGGTCATGCAACAGGAGTTATCTCCCTTACCTCTATGCCGGGCGGTCCTGGTAGTCCAGTCATGCCCTACAAGCAGTGCAGTTACCATAGCAACACATAATCATCTTTTTAAATACTTGTCTGCTTGCCAAAATTCATGAACTGACATGGATCTGTCAATGGTTAGTCACTCAGGTTTATAAGTATATTATGCCATGGAGACAATGAAGCTGATTTGTCTTCCAGGGGTGAGTGAGTAAGTATGGTTTTATGCCACGTTTAGCAATATTCCAGAAATATCATGGCGGAGGATACCAGAAATGGGATTCATACATTGCACACCATGTTGGGAATCGAACCTAAGTCTTCAGCGTGACGAGCGGACACTTTAACCATTAGGCTACTCCACCGTCCCGTCTTCCAGGCGATACAGAAGTGGTGACAAACATTCTGTCTCTATAGACAAGGACACAATAGAACACCTCTCATCCCAAAACACAACAAATAACATTAGTTATTACAACAGTGGAAGCTGAATAGTGTGAGAGTATGTACTTGGCAGGTGCTTGTGGCATTGGTTGGGGGAAGGGAAGTGATAGTGATGGGAGGGGGGTGGAAGAAGGGATGATGGAAACACCAAACAAGACTGGGATCTAAGCATGTTTCACTCTAAATGCCTAACCAGCATTCATGAACTGTGGAAATATAACTGCAATGTAAACAATTTTACAAAGCATGTATGTGACAGGTCACCCCGACATATAAAGGCTTGGTGTAAATCTTGTCGCCCATCCTGACTCAATCATAAACCAAGTCGGGTCATGTGACACGATTCCACTCAAAGACCATCATCCTGCCAAGAAATAATGAACCACCGACATGAAGGTCCTGGATGACAAGCAAATGTCAGTGATAATAGACCAATTTCAGAAATTAATGGTCATGTGACATGAGAAAAGTTAGATTACATGACAGGAAGTACAGTCAGGTAATGTGACAATATGAACTGTCAGATCATGTGATAACATGGACATTCAGGTCACATTGAGTGAAAATATGCAAAGGTTCTGTAAAGATTAGTACAGTCAGATCATAGCAGGTGGCAACTGTTATCAGTTTATTGATATTGTGGAACCTTTTTGTCAAAGATGTCACAAGAAATGGTGAGGTGAGGTGAAATGGTGTTTAACGTTGTACTTAAGATTATTTCACTAATATGACGATGGGCATGCATGTGTATTTGTGGCTGCTTGTACTAGCCCAGGCTTAAGCTGGTATATGGTGCTAGCTCACTGAGATACCATGCCGCAGTGAAGCATGAATACCCCACTCAGTCACATTATACTCCGAGCCGACCAGTCCTTGTTGTACCCATTAATGCTGAGTACCAGGAAGGGGCAAAAAAAAGTACCATATTTTAACATTTTTTGGTATAACATGGCCGGGGATCGAACCCTTAACCTTCCACTCTCCAGGTGCACGCTCTAACCACTACACCATGTAGGCAGTGTCACAAGAATTGGGAAAACAGGGCATCACATATGTGACAATGTGACAAGGATAGTCACGTGACACTCACCGCTATTCCTTTATCTCCCTTGTCACCCTTCTCACACCTGCACGCTCCGTCTTCTCCCAGCACGATCCCGGACATGCCTGGTCCTGCTGGTCCTGGTGGACCCTATCAGAAACAGGACACATGAGGATCTCAGATTAACACATGGATACAGCCAGGGGGGCATACATGCAAGCAAATCTCATTAACACAAAACTAGCATCAATACTTTATCATTGCAGTATAAGGAAACAGAAGAAATGAAGCAATGTTGTATATATTTCAAATTAGTAACTTTAATCACATATTTTTATAAAACTAAATCTTATTTCTTTGAAGAAGTGAAAGAAACTTTATTTGAGTCAAGAGAAGAAAATGGATGTAAAAATTAGCACGAGATGAAATCCTGTATGTCCAGCTGGTCCAGCGGCTGTCGTCTCTCACTAGGAACCCACCTCCGTCTTTTGTGGTGTAAGGGAGGCAACTCCATGCATGCACTAGACAATACCCCCCCTCCTATCTGTATCATAATCCCTCTCTACCTTACATGCTGTTGGGTGATGAAAATGACTTCTTTGGTGTGAAATATGCTCTTTCATTGTCAGAGGAAAAGAAAATGTTCGCCATACCCAGTGAAGGAGTTCTCGTTGTGGTACTGTATGAATGACTATAATCGATGGCTACAGTTTCCGTCAACCACACATATGTATCGAACACCGATATATACTGACAATTACAGAGTATCTAGAAACCAAGCATTAACAGAAAAGAAAGAACTAAACAGCAGACTAACATCCACGATGGGTTTAACCGAAGTCGAGGCAGTTTGATCTGAGGTGACTAGGCATCTACGCCTGCGCAGTTCACTTACGCTGGCTTACGCTGCATATATCTCCCAGGCCAAACCCAGAGCGACAATATCATTGTAAAACACAATTAATGAAGAAATAGAAATAAAACAAAAGAAGACTGATACTCGAGTTGATGTCTGTGGAATAAGAAGCTATTGCAATGCAGGGGAGATAACTCTACTGAACGCCTGACTGCCATCAACATTCAAGTTTGCAGCCATGCCTTCATCAAATGTTTTCACATGCCAAGACATCTTTCTTAGTAAATGGAAAGTTTAGCAAGTCGAAGGAGTGGAAATTTTAGCCCCTCACCGAACTCTCTTTAAAAACCAAGGAATGTCATCAATATGTTCTTAAAGAATTTCCTTTTCCATTCTAACTGACATGAAGATTTATGATACAGTTATGTAAACACCATGTTATATGAAAGTAGAATTATAATGACATCGTGGTATTTAAACTCATCATTAACACACTATTGAATACGGATATTATAGTTTTCATAACACCCCAGTTTATAAACAATATGGAATAGCAACAACAGTAGTAGATATTTCTGTTGAATGTTCCCGCCTATTGCTAAGATGTAATGCGACAAATGATGAAATGAGGAATGCTGGGAAGCTGTGAAGGTGTGTGGCAAAAGTAAGGCTTACATGCAGCATCAACCACTAGCTACACATCGACGCATGCGGAAACCACAAGGACGACTCACTTTTGGGCCAGGTTTGCCCACAATGCCTGGTTTCCCTGACTCGCCCGGCGACCCTGCCGGCCCCTCGGCCCCCTGGGATACAAGGTGATGAACACAAGTGCAAGGCAGCAGTACAGAACATCCCGACAATACTTCGATACAAACAGGCCTGGGGTACGAGGCTTACAGTGGTCTTACAGACACGATGTAGACCAGTAACTCAAACATGGAGACCAACTCATGTGGAAGAATCATGCAGTTTTACAAAACAAATAATGTTTTCTTCATTTGTTTCTAGGAATATTTAAATTCTGAGGACTGGTGGTAACAATGTCTGGCTATCCTGGGATGTAACTGCTACAGTTGGTGCAGTGTGCAGTGCGGTGACAACAACGACGGCTGTGACACAAAATGTAACAAATGTGCAGTGACAACACCGTGCTTTGCACACCACACACTTGACATGAGTTATCTCCCTTTAATACAACACTATGCTGGCCACCATGTCACATCTCTGAAGGGGTGTAGTCAAACTGAACAACTCACAATAGACAAAATTTTGAAACACAGTAACCACCTGAGGCGCCTTTGATGAAATTAACATGGACAAATCTCAAAGAAACAGCTAACAGTTCCAGGTTTCAAAGGAAGTTGTGTGTATGATACGAATGCTTACAGCAATCCAGGTGCTCATTATGATACATCATTTACATTTTTGGCTGTTTTACAGGTGATCAGGCACAGTAAGTGTAACCATATCCACATTATTACCATGGATTCTACAGTAGTGTGTTAAATGTCCGTAGGCGACTCATTGTGGTGATGCATTAAATACAATAACATCATCACCTATATGTTCATTCATATAGTACTTGCATGTCAGCTTAGATAACTGACTCATGATTGTACCACAGAGATAACCACATAAAGGGATGTAATAACCTTTGCTTATCCAAGGAAATATTTATGGGCGCAAATAGGCCTCTTATTGGCCCACGTAGCCCTAAAACTATGAAACCAAACCAAACCAAGGAAATTTAGGTAATACATTTAGGTCAATGGCATAACCATTCTATATTGCACACAGGACATAATAAACATTCTCTGAAAAATGGAGGCAATGGCAATATTTGTCCAAAAGGAGATTGTTTATCCATTGTCTGTCTTGAGGTAATATGCATTGTTTATCTCATAATGGAGGTAATATGCATTGTTTATCTCATAATGGAGGTAATATGCATTGTTTATCTCATAATGGAGGTAATATGCATTGTTTATCTCATAATGGAGGTAATATGCATTGTTTATCTCATAATGGAGGTAATATGCATTGTTTATCTCATAATGGAGGTAATATGCATTGTTTATCTCATAGTGGAGGAAATATCCATTGTTATCCAATAATGGAGGTTATTGTAGAATTCTGGTGGTAGCAATTGTTTATATCATACTGGTGGTAGTACTGATCATTTACTGCAATATAACAAATTAACATTTTATCTGACAAAGCCATTTTAGTAAAGTTTAAGTACAAGACAAGTAATTACAATTGTTCTCAGTGACTGCAGCCCTTCTGTGTAACCTCTGGCAAGCCAGTCAAAGGGAGATAACTCACTCACAATATCACACTTGGTCAACTCTCCATGATGTCAGTGACACCCCCACCGGAATAGTTACAGATGAAGAAGCTGATTTGAAAGTTGATAAACTATGACAGGTTTATGTGTGGAGATACTATTGATACTTACTTAATTATACATCTGCGTGATTTCTAACCACTCAACATAATTGTTTGCAAGCTACTGAGCTTTCAAGATTAAGTAAACAATTCAGTTTGGAGAACTAATTGCTTAAATTTTCTCTTTAAAGAAAAGCTCTGGATATTGCAAATTTCACAGAACATTAACATCTGAAAATTGTTATCACATGAACAACATGATTATCAAACATAGTTTGGTTTTATTGCAGAAGGTTACTATTCCAGCCCTTAATGGTAATGTCCAGATTTGTATATGTCTGAACGTGAAAGAGGAATTATTTTTTAAAGGAATCCTTTATCACAGAACACCATGGTTAGGTCAAGGACATGACAGAGAGTTACCATGGTTACATCTCAAACATCCCTGATGAATATGTTCTTGTCACAAACAACACTAATGACTTGAGGACACCCTGAAGATCAGAGGGTGTTCTCAGTTGCCATGGTGCCAGGTCTGTAAGGACTAGAAGGTGAAGGTTGCATCAACAGTTCTTGTGGTGGAACTGTAAGTGACTCAGGTGAGTGCTATGGGTCTCACCACCTTGTTACTCATGCAGACGGACATGCAGATGTACAGAAGTACTTACAGGAAGTCCAATAGAACCTGCATCGCCTTTCTGTCCTTGCTGTCCCTGTGGTGGTCAGATAGGTCACACATTGAGTTACAGGTCACATGATGACAGGTCGCATAATGGGTCACATGACGGGTCAAAGGTCACACGTTATATAACACATCATAACATTACAGTGATTCAGTGATTAAATATTGCTTGAAAAATTATTCTGCTTCTGAAGAAAATTAAGATAATCATTCATGATATCATAAGTACACAAAAAGTTGGTCAATCAGGCCAGTCTGATACATGGCCATCACCTGGCATCCCATGGAGGCATCCCGCATCCCACAGACAACATGTGACAGGGTTAACTTGTTTGGTCATTGGGTACATGACCTGAAGGTCTTGGGTTCTAATGCCCTGTCGGGATTCAGAAGTTTTATAGCTGCTACAATCAGACCCAACAGACCAATCAGACCAATCAGGGCCATATTATCCATCATGTCCAAAAGACACATCTGGTCCATCAGATCCAACAGACCCATCAGGTGCAAGAGACCCATCTGGTCCAAGAGACCCATCAGGTCTAACAGACCCATCTGGTCCAAGAGACCCATCAGGTCCATCTGGTCAGGCATGCAAGGATGACAGGGTGACAGGCAGGTGGTTACAGAGGACATCATGCAGGCACCTTGGCCATGTCAGGCGAGATGGAGCATGCTGATGGAGATGAGGATACAGCATGGTGTTGGGGTGGGGGTGTGTGTGGGGGTGAAGAGGGTGACATGGTGTTCACAAGGCAGTGACAGGGGAGACAGGGGGACTTCAGCTACAGGGTAGTAAGTGCAGATAGGGCTGATAAAGGGTACTGGTAACAGGACATGGAGTAATGACAAGACTTGTGCCAGAGTGTGGCTGAGGGCTGATGGAGACAGACAGGTGATCTGCAGCATCTCGGGCTGGTGTTTCATGGCGGGAGACTGTCACCTACAGTTGTATTTAGTGATGGCATTGGATGATGGCACCGTCATCAACCATCAATCCATTTCTAACCTGGGGTGACAGCCTGATGTTTCATGTGTCTCCATGTTCCTCATTAGTAAAATGTGTATCCGCTCACTCACATGTGTGTATCCGCTCACTCACTCACTCACTCACTCACTCACTCACCCACTCGATCATGAGACCTAATTATAAGTACACTCAGAGGATGGTGACAAGGGTGCATGCAGGTCATGACACTGTGCTCAGGAGCAGCACCAGGTAGCTGCCTGTGGGGAATCGTGGTGGACAACTTGAACACCATCGTCAATACTTCACAGGATTTTGTCTATGCTGCCTTCCTCCTGCATGAATACATACAGTGGTTTAGTAATATATGTGTAGTTTTAGAGATGTGACGTGTACAGCACCTACAACACTGCAGCAGATGTTGCATGAGATATACACCGCTTGCTAACATGTGATGCTCTGGCGAGTCTGAAAACAGGGAGACTAACACCACAGACTATATACTATTCATGATCACAGCTAACAACAAGAGTAGGATCTGGACTAACACCAGGAGTAGGATCTAGACTAACATCAGGAGTAGGATCTCAGTAAGACTAACACCAGGAGGGGCAGGTGAACACACAGGGAAGGGTGGGAACAGTGAACATTCATGAAGGTTGGCACAACAATCACACTTACTGCTTCGCCTTTTGGTCCCAGTGGTCCAATATCACCCTGACAATTGTAGAACAAATCAGACTTGATGAATGAGGGACAAGGAGAGAAAGAGAGGTATCAAGGCATCATGGCAGTCCCAGATTGTCACAGGTATAACACGTGCAGATGCATGCAATTATTGACGTTTACTCATCTCAGACAAAACTATCCAAAATATTTGTTCAGGAATGTACTTCCTATGTTCTGAGACACCATGAGGAGTAATAATTCTCTGAGATACATAGTGTATATTCGGCATGGTCTTCAAGTCAACTACATCTATCAGGCACTATGGGCAAAATGGATGACAGTTACAGAGTCTGGTGAGCATTCATGTACACACCGACACTGCGAGAACAGAGAGACGTATTATCCAGTTTATGATATCTCCATGTTATGATAACATCCCGCAGCCAGCCGCCACCATCGGCCAGTACTGGGTCCTGATTGGCTGACACTCTAAACACCCCGCAGCCAGGTGCCACCATCGGCCAGTACTGGGTCCTGATTGGCTGACACTCTAAAGAACTAATCAAACTACAATATTCTTTCATGACAGAAACAGGCGGCAGTATCACAAATATTCAGTGAGCCATGTCTAGGACTTAGAAGAAGTTAATACTGAGGAAACCTTCCTGTCCAACTCAAGGTCACCAGTAACCAATAACTGTGTTCTTTATTGAACAGACCTTATGGATAACAACTTCTATTATTTCGTGATGGTATGTAGTATCCTTGGTCTCTGTTGATCAAAGGTTTGTTGTGTCAGATTTTGTTGGCTTCCAAAAGTTGTTATCCATAAAGTTGTATATTTCATTTTTGTTATCCATAATGTTTGTTCAATATTGTAGTGTACTTCCCAACTTCGAAAATGCCATTCAAAGAAACTGCGTTCTTTGATCTGTTGTTGAAGGCATGGTGTTACCAATTGCAAACCTATACGTGATGGTTTACAGATTTACAATACATGGGCGAGAAGAATTTTATGTGAAGTAAGTGACAAGAGTGTGACATCCCTTCCAAGCTGATGACATGGTGGCAGATGGCTGCAGGGTGTAATCATACAGGGAAGATAGAGATATGATTCAGTGGATAATGAAAGGTGATCTGTACTAGATGTCTGTAGCTGGTACAGCACCTGAGTCTAGTGTGTACATGCTAGAGGTGATAGGTAGGGGAACCCTAGATATAATGAAGGGTGATCTGTACTAGAGGTCTGTAGCTGGTACAGCACCTGAGTCTAGTGTGTACATGCTAGAGGTGATAGGTAGGGGAACCCTAGATATAATGAAGGGTGATCTGTACTAGATGTCTGTAGCTGGTACAGCACCTGAGTCTAGTGTGTACATGCTAGAGGTGATAGGTAGGGGAACCCTAGATATAATGAAGGGTGATCTGTACTAGATGTCTGTAGCTGGTACAGCACCTGAGTCTAGTGTGTACATGCTAGAGGTGATAGGTAGGGGAACCCTAGATATAATGAAGGGTGATCTGTACTAGATGTCTGTAGCTGGTACAGCACCTGAGTCTAGTGTGTACATGCTAGAGGTGATAGGTAGGGGAACCCTAGATATAATGAAGGGTGATCTGTACTAGAGGTCTGTAGCTGGTACAGCACCTGAGTCTAGTGTGTACATGCTAGAGGTGATAGGTAGGGGAACCCTAGATATAATGAAGGGTGATCTGTACTAGATGTCTGTAGCTGGTACAGCACCTGAGTCTAGTGTGTACATGCTAGAGGTGATAGGTAGTAGGGGAACCCTAGATATAATGAAGGGTGATCTGTACTAGAGGTCTGTAGCTGGTACAGCACCTGAGTCTAGTGTGTACATGCTTGAGGTGATAGGTAGGGGAACCCTAGATATAATGAAGGGTGATCTGTACTAGAGGGTCTGTAGCTGGTACAGCACCTGAGTCTAGTGTGTACATGCTAGAGGTGATAGGTAGGGGAACCCTAGATATAATGAAGGGTGATCTGTACTAGAGGTCTGTAGCTGGTACAGCACCTGAGTCTAGTGTGTACATGCTAGAGGTGATAGGTAGGGAACCCTAGATATAATGAAGGGTGATCTGTACTAGATGTCTGTAGCTGGTACAGCACCTGAGTCTAGTGTGTACATGCTAGAGGTGATAGGTAGGGGAACCCTAGATATAATGAAGGGTGATCTGTACTAGATGTCTGTAGCTGGTACAGCACCTGAGTCTAGTGTGTACATGCTAGAGGTGATAGGTAGGGGAACCCTAGATATAATGAAGGGTGATCTGTACTAGATGTCTGTAGCTGGTACAGCACCTGAGTCTAGTGTGTACATGCTTGAGGTGATAGGTAGGGGAACCCTAGATATAATGAAGGGTGATCTGTACTAGATGTCTGTAGTCTAGTGTGTACATGCTTGAGGTGATAGGTAGGGGAACCCTAGATTACCTTAATACCTGGAGGCCCCTGCAGTCCCATGGGTCCCTGTAGACAACAACATCTCTCATTGAACACAGTACACACAACCATCACAGGTCATGGCAACCTCTACAGTCTTCTAACACAAGGAAAACAGATTTATCATAAATAGTTTATATATCAATGGAACAAAGTCTTTAGTGATCGATTGTGGGCACTGAACAAAGATGTATTATACCTCCTTACTTTGAATTCCTAAATAAACCCATGCATTGACTACAGGAGGTGGCTAGCCCCCAATGACCAGCTATGTGGACCAGCATGCAGTCATGCAGTCTTACCATTGGTCCGGGGGGTCCTGGGGGTCCAGGAAGCTGCAACAGGAGGGCAGTCATCAGGGGACAAGTTGATGGCAGGGACAGAGGACAGGGACAGATTCAGGGGACACGGTACAGACTCAGAGGACACGATACAGACTTGGGGTCAAGGTACAAATCCAGGCGGCATGGTACAGATTCAGGGGACATGGTACAGATTCAGGGGACATGGTACATATTCAGGGGACATGGTACAGATTCAGGGGACAGGGTACAGATTCAGGGGACATGGTACAGATTCAGGGGACAGGGTACAGATTCAGGGGACATGGTACAGACTCGGGGTCAGGTACAAATCCAGGCGGCATGGTACAGATTCAGGGGACAGGGTACAGATTCAGGGGACATGGTACAGACTCGGGGTCAAGGTACAAATCCAGGCGGCATGGTACAGATTCAGGGGACATGGTACAGATTCAGGGGACAGGGTACAGATTCAGGGGACATGGTACAGATTCAGGGGACAGGGTACAGATTCAGGGGACATGGTACAGACTCGGGGTCAGGTACAAATCCAGGCGGCATGGTACAGATTCAGGGGACAGGGTACAGATTCAGGGGACATGGTACAGACTCGGGGGTCAAGGTACAAATCCAGGCTGAGCATGGTACAGATTCAGGGACATGGTACAGATTCAGGGACAGGGTACAGATTCAGGGGACATGGTACAGACTCGAGTCAGGTACAAATCCAGAAGCGGGCATGGTACAGATTCAGGGGACATGGTACAGATTCAGGGGACAGGGTACAGGTTCAGGGGACAGGGTACAGATTCAGGGGACATGGTACAGACTCGGGGTCAAGGTACAAATCCAGGCGGCATGGTACAGATTCAGGGGACATGGTACAGATTCAGGGGACAGGGTACAGATTCAGGGGACATGGTACAGACTCGGGGTCAAGGTACAAACCCAGGCGGCATGGTACAGACTCAGGGGACATGGTACAGATTCAGGGGACAGGGTACAGATTCAGGGGACACGATACAGACTCGGGGTCAAGGTACAAATCCAGGCGGCAGGGTACAGATTCAGGGGACATGGTACAGATTCAGAAGACATGGTATAGATTCAGGGGACATGGTACAGATTCAGGGGACATGATACAGAGGGGACATGGTACAGATTCAGGGGACATGGTACAGATTCAGGGGAAATAGTTCAGATTCAGGGGACATAGTACAGATTCAGGGGACATTGAATTCATAAGATCAGGGTTCACAGCACCTTAAACTGCATCAACTTACCCCTTCACCACTGCCAACAACGCCTTCAACCATTCCTGGTTCTCCCTGAGCCAGACAATATATTGGTTATAACATGGTGGCAAATATAGGTTATATACAATGGGCAGTTCTTTGACACTAGCATAATCCTAATGGAGGGTTACTGATACATTTCTTTGTCACAACCAATACATGTGAACAACAACAAAAATAGCTTTATTTGATACTTCCTCAAATGTACCATTTCAGTACTTCAGTGTTACACAGTGTAATAATATACAAATATCTGTGAGTGTATGACAAGTAAAATAACCAAAATATCTCCCTGTGTAATAACTGATATATGTACAAGTGTCACATCAGTGTAATAACTAACACCACTGAACCATACAACACATGCTGCATACTGTAAGTAGTTGACGGTTTCCCTCCCCGAGTCTAGCCAGTGTAAAGTCATGCATTACATCAATCTTGATGAAGGAAGAAAGTACAACATCCATGCTTGTCATTTTCCCAGCTAGTTTAGCCTGCTGCAGATCCCACCACCACACAACGTCATCAATCGAGTACATGGCAACACTTGGGAGATATATTTACATGTAAAGGAGAATTTACCCCGGGAAAACCAGTAGGTGTAGGCCTAGGTGTTCCTCAGATCATCAGTATAGATCAGCTGTAGGAGCAGACCTAGGGGTTCCTCAGATCATCAGTATAGATCAGCTTTAAAGCAGACCTAGGTGTTCCTCAGATCATCAGTATAGATCGGCTGTAGGAGCAGACCTAGATGTTCCTCAGATCATCAATATAGATCAGCTGTAGGAGCAGACCTAGGTGTTCCTCAGATCATCAGTATAGATCAGCTTTAGAGCAGACCTAGGTGTTCCTCAGATCATCAGTATAGGATCAGCTGTAGGAGCAGACCTAGGTGTTCCTCAGATCATCAGTATAGGATCAGCTGTAGGAGCAGACCTAGGTGTTCCTCAGATCATCAGTATAGATCAGCTGTAGGAGCAGACCTAGGTGTTCCTCAGATCATCAGTATAGGATCAGCTTCAGAGCAGACCTAGGTGTTCTTCAGATCATCAGTATAGGATCAGCTATAGGAGCAGACCTAAGTGTTCCTCAAATCATGAGTATAGGATCAGCTGTAGGAGCAGACCTAGGTGTTCCAAAAGAACATGAGTATAGGATCAGCTTATCACCATACCGGGACAAAGTCAACTGCACATGGGTGCCAGTTGTTAGTTAATGCTGCACAAATAATGTGCTCCCAAGTATGTGTACTGACCAACCAATACACATCAGTGTTGCTCATGACAGTATTTAGGATGACGGATGTTTCTGGACATGCACATGCCATGACCTATCACACCCCTCCCCACCACCTCTATATATCCCCCCGCGGGGGAAACAGCTGCCTCCACGGCTGCTATAGTTATTTCAAGCATTTCCCCAAAAGTTTTTAGAGTCACGTACGGCACAGTAGCTAGGAAAACAACATTGTCCCGAGCGGGAGCTACGATCTTACCCGTGTCCTTGGTGGTGGCATGGCATGTTAAAAACATATTATATTAAAGTATTTCAAAGCATACACATATTTCAAAATTTGAGCACCTGCCTTCATGCAGTTAGTTTTGATCAGTTACAACTGAGTTGCACATTCAGCAATACCTCGACTGGATTAACCATAAGAGTGGACATGATTCTTGTTCTCAACAGCTCTTATCTACCATAGCGCGGTTGTCACACTCACACAGTAATAACTTCATGCAATGTAATTTTCCTTAATGCTCTCAACCACTTGCTATCTGAGTTAACCACATTAACATCATGCAAATTGTTTTCTTCTCTCACTATGTATCACCTAAATTTACCATATTAAATCCATGCAAATTTCTGTAGTGTTTGTTACTGGTTCCCTTTAATGTCCAAATGTTGAGGTTCTCTGTAAACACTGCCCTATGTAGGGCATCATGCAGACAGGCATGCTGGATACAGTGATGTAACTTACAGGTGGGCCAGGTAGGCCGGGGGGTCCAATCATCCCAGGTAAACCGCTAGGTCCCTTCTCACCAGGCTCTCCCTTCAGTCCTGGCTCTCCCTACACCAGTCAGACAAACAGGTCAGTGACCACTGGTCATCCCTTGACTGTTACAGTGTTACATTTATGTGTAACACTATAATAACAGTTACAATGTAAAGATGTGTCAATGTACCAGTTATGATGTAACATTGTGTAATTGTACCCAGTAACAAAGTAACACTGTATCAGTGTTCCAGTAACAAAGTAACACTGTTTTAATGTAACAGTAACAAAGTAACACCGTTTGGATGTAACAGTAACAAAGTAACACTGTTTTAATGTAACAGTAACAAAGTAACACTGTTTGAATGTAACAGTAACAAAGTAACACTAAGTAATCTAACACTGTTGTTATGTACATGTAACAATGTAGGAATGCTTGATTTCATGATATTAGTTTAAAGTGTAAATACATGATTTTCAGTCATCAAACGTTCATGACTAGATCTCAAACAGTCAGTAACCACGACAGACAAGGACACCATCAATTCTCTGGTGTTTTGTGTAGACGTCTTCCATGAACTCAACAATAAATACTGAACCTTACATGTGACATTTGTGGTCTCACCTAAGGCAAGTGAGTTTGTTCAAAATTGCTGAGCAGTGAATGGGTACCCAGTGGAATAAGATGGTCATATGACTCTTAACCTTCTAGTGCCTCATCAGCAGATTGGGTTCATAATAATAATGTCTGCCCTTCATGCTTCATTTGTCCTTATTGCCACTCAGCGTCTTTGAGGTGGATATTAGGCACTCGACAAATGTATTATATACCTTAATGACACAATGGTGAAGTGGTTAAAACATCAACTGATCTGTGTCAATGATTATAAGCTTACATTGCTGATTAATGTTGTTGAGCAAATACAGGATGGTCTCTGATGTGATCTTGGTGCACAGAGTTACGTCCCCTGATATCTGTGATGCTGTGCAGACTTAATGGGTACAAGTGTAACAACTTTGAGAACAGAAAGTCTGTTATCCAGAAATCAGATTCAATGTGTTATCTGATGTAAAGACTCCAAGGTTCCCATGGAAACCCAGTCTCTGATTTATTTTGTCTGTGACATATGTTTCCTCAAGGTTTCATGCCTTTCAATGTCTTAATTACAATATCCCAGACATTTCAGTCAAAGAACCTAACATGGGTGTCACACAATGTACCTATGTGTGGAATTGAACCTGGGACTTCAGTCTGAAGAGTCAATATGTTAACCACTTGGCCATCCTCTGTTGGCTAGGGATGATACAGGATGTGCATCACTGCATGTACAAGTGTTGTGTCCCTTAGATGACAGGATCTGCTGGTCATGAGTTTGAATCCAAGGTTTTAATAGAACTACATCAGTGTCTGCATGACTTGGGTGTGCCTCCCCCATCCAGCAGCTGAGGCACCATGATACAACCAACCGAAATACTGTTCAAAGTGGTGTTCAGCTCACTCACTCACTCAGTACTTAGTAGGTGCAGTGGGGTTTGGGAAGATGTTATGATAAAGTGAGAGTCTTACATCATTCACAGTGACTGCTTGCAACACCATGACACAGCCAGGTGACAGACAGAAGGACTACAAGCTGCTTCTATGCTACACTACAGAAGTAATATGGACACATGCACTCCAGCTTCTTCATACCGTCCCTTCTCAGTGACACCAGAACCACTCGACAACTGTTGGCATGTAAACCTTCCTATACCAATCATATGACAATATGCATTATGTATTCATATAACTGTGACTTGCTTGACGAGATGTGGGCAAAATGAAAAACTTTCATGGTTTGATACAGACACAGACATAGGACTGAATGCTCTTACCGATGAACTTGTTTTTATACAACTTATATAATGTTATTCACATTACTGGATAACATACTGACATTACTGGATAAGATGCTGAAATAACTGGATACGATGCTGACATTAATGGATAAGATGGTCACATTACTGGATAAGATGGTCACATTACTGGATAAGATGGTCACATTACTGGATAAGATGCTGACATTACTGGATAAGATGGTCACATTACTGGATAAGATGGTCACATTACTGGATAAGATGCTGACATTACTGGATAAGATCCTGCGGTACTGGATACAATGCTGACATTACTGGATACGACCCTGACATTACTGGATAAGACGGTCACATTACTGGATAAGATCCTGACATTACTGGATACAATTCTGACATTACTGGATAAGATGCTGACAATAATGGATACAATTCTGACATTACTGGATAAGATGCTGACATTACTGGATAAGATGCTGACATTACTGGACACGATGCTGTCATTACTGGATACGACCCTGACATTACTGGATAAGATGGTCACATTACTGGATAAGATGCTGACATTACATGATAAAATGCTGACATTACTGGATAAGATGCTGACATTACTGGATAAGATGCCGACATTACTGGATAAGATGCAATAACACTTGCTTGTAGACTCATACAGTCTGTACAAATACACCTGATTTCACATGTAAGCAATTCAACATGACCAGTGTACTGGTGTAACTCACAGGTGGGCCAACGACTCCCTTTCCTCCATCGATTCCGTTCCGCCCTGGCATCCCCGCATGTCCTTTTACTCCCTGTTACATGGACAATCAATGTTATTGCTCAGAAGTCTTCACAGACAGTAACAACAACCACTGCACTGCTGGCTGAGGTCTTCATGGAAGTCACAGTCACCCAGTTAATGATTGATGAGGTGTTCAGGACAACCTCTAGCAGCTGGTCCAGATTCTCTAGGATACAACTAGAGACTGATGGAGTGAGGAGGAGGAGGAGCTTCTGGCTGACAGGCTTCAGTTAAAGCAGTGGTTGTTTCCAGCCATGTATGCTATCATGTTTAAAACAATCACCTTTCAGAATTCTGGCCTTCTCTTTAGTTTATTTACCAAGGTTTAGCCCAAACCATCAATTGTGTCAAATCCACATTTTTGATATCTGAATCTGTTATGTCAGAGATATATTAAAGAAAGACTAATAGCAATTCAAAATGAAATGTTTTGAAACCCAAATATTTAATAACTTATGATGATCATGATCTTGTGAGGAAGGTTAAGTTTATGTTACATACACAATACAAAATCTTTCTGAAATTGTTTTGGAAATATTGTCACCTCTTTACATTGCTGGGACAGCTTCTACTTACAAGACAGCTCGGTTCCACCTCTGTGACCTCCAGCAGTCTACCACTAGTTGGCTACAGACCTAGGACTGCCACATGCTTCACTCGTTATTTACTCACTCCAATAGTCTATATCTACAGTTTCATGTACACCATACATGACTTGATGATAGGTGGAATCAAGAAAACAACAGATGACACAAGACAGAGAACATGCAGAGGACATCAATGGTCCCTCCTTGACAACATATCGGACACCGATTAGTGCAGTGCCGAAAACAGAGGAACGATGAGGTTTTTGCTGTGACCTGGTGGCAACTAAACAAAACAGTTGGACACAGTAGAGAGACACATGGAGGTCCGGCAGCAGCATGCAACACTTCCTCTACAAACACAATGTAACAATACCTACCTGTTGCCCTGGGAGCCCAAATGAACCCTTCTCACCCTGGGGGCCCTGGTCACCCGGTGGCCCCTGGGGGCCGGGGAAGCCAAACCTTCCCAGCATGCCCTTCTCCCCTCGATGTCCCCTTCTGCCCTAGAGGAGCAACACACACACAACACGTCAACATTGAGGTGACCACCATAGCAGGGCAGACAGTGCATAGTCGGAACATAGGAAAAAAGAAGCTTGTTGGCAGCAAGTGTCATTTCTTGGGAAATGGTATTATCATCATACACGATTGCTCTTGATATGCTGTATGGACTTCTTGTCTGTTCACAGATTAACTTTCGTTACTTTACTTCCACTATAAAAACATTTGTACTGATAAAATGGAATCCAGTTCTACCATGCAAGAACACCAACATTATCTGAGTTAGCCCAGCCTTGAGTAAGTATTGACTATCAGTGCTATATATGAGTTACTACTGTACCACCCCACAGACACCAGTCATGCTGAGTCATCGCCCCATGCTGGTATAAGATTTATACAACATGTCCTCTATGGTTTATATACTCAACACAAAGTGTACTGGCACCAATGGTCTAGATGTACTGGCACCAATGGTCTAGATGTACTGGCACCAATGGTCTAGATGTACTGGCACCAATGGTCTAGATGTACTGGCACCACTAGTCTAGATGTACTGGCACCAAATCTTCTTGACGCACTGGCACCAATGGCCTGGATGAGCTGGCACTAATGGTCTAAAGGTAATGGCACCAATGGTCTTCCTGTACTGGCACCAATGGTCTAGATGTAATGGCATGCTTATAGTATGTGTTGATGCATTTACTAGCAGCTGCAGGAGCTGGCCTAGGATACAATGATTCACATCACACATCAAACAGCCTATCTGTAAACTTCATCAACTTCATCCCATGTTAGTAACAAGCCGTTGTACCTACTATGTTACCCAGATCATGCTGATTACAGACAGACATATCCTACAACCTATACAGGGCATACCCCATTGTACGACCTAGCAGTGATTAGTGTGTTTACACCATGAGAAGTGCAGATGAAGATACGAGATGTACACACCAGCAGGAATGGAGGCTACAGTTGGGAAGGGGAAAATCACGTAAACAGAGATATAAAACTACTCAGCAAAGATTTTTCTCAAAAAAACTGTATACGTTTATATTATATATCATTTGGCAAATATCATCAGGTATTGCTGGTCACATTATTTGTACAATCTATAATGTAAGCTGCCAACTATGGCTGTGATGGTGATTTTATCATGGAGCCTGACGTCCTAGAGCAACCTGCTCCCATCACTGACCACAAACATACAGGGACAACTGCTATAGATGTTAAATACTACATAAATCAGTTTGGACATGGTCTTTGTTCAATGAAAACATTATCAGTATTCTCCAAAATGATTCTAAACTAGCCTGTGATCATGAATCCACTGTTTATCAGTATATATATGCTGTAAACAAATGGATACTTTCCAGCACTGTTTCTACTTCACGATGTGGTTATTAGCAGGAGGGACATTCTACAGCTGTATATGATGAGAAAAAGGGATATAATAGTATTTTTACGATCTGTATACTTCCTACAGCAATGTCCATATTTAACAGAGATCTGGAACTGAAAGTTATATGGATATATAGAGCTTACTTTGTCAAGGATGCCGTATCGATATATGGTCACACAATATCAATATTGCATATATCGTATGGTGATATCAGTGATATACAGATAGAGGGATAGACACAACCTACAGTAATACTGAATGGAGTTATGACCCTCTGTTGGAGGTTTGACGCTGGGTAGTGTGGCTGATATGTAATAGTGAGGTGGATATTTTGATATAACCTACAGCGATACCGGGCCAGGAACAGGAAGTGAACTATGAGTGTTGCTTCATGCAGACACTACGAAGACATACACAGTTTGTAGATGGCGAGGCGCACCTCCAAGATGGCTGACATGCAACTGAGAACAGGGGCATGCACACAAAGACAACATGTGCAGACAGACGTGGTATTTACCCGTTTCCCCCGCTTTCCCCTATCCCCCTTTGCCCCGACGGGACCTGGAGCGCCGGGAAGACCGATCTGACCCTAGGGAGAAAACATACATCATGAACAACTTCAACATCATCTGCTGTCTCTGACTCATGCAGTCAAGTCCCACATGCAGTATTGTGTTGAACTGGGTTACAGTGAGGGACTGCTGTGTTGGCGTGTCATAAACAGCCTGCAATAGGGAGGATGGATGAGACACTGTGTCTCACAACAGGAGTATAGAGCATGTATAGATAGTTGTGTGTGACGGTGGTGGTTTCCATGGAGATGATGACATCACTGGCACCTGTCTGAAACATACAGAACCATGCACGTCGCATACAGCATCATTAGTAAACATATACACAGGTATACAACTAATGCAAACTCTTGCTCAACATGCTAATGCTCAACTTTAACACCCATCATCTGTTATGCATAATAACACAGTTTAAAATAACATCAATATTTACATGAAACAACTTTTACATCATGAACAACATACTAAAGGTAAACATGATTAGATATGTTATCAGATTACAGCATATTAAATAATTAATGCAAAGTAGCGAGTATTTCATAATTAGGACAATACAGGAATTAGAGAGTGTACATTTGTTGGATCATTTCCTGCTGGAAGACTACAGCAGCAGCTAGCAGGGAATTATTTCATGGCATCACAGTTGAGATGAGGATCTTCAGCTCCGTACTTAAAGTGATGTACAGCATGGACACTCCCAAGTGCCCAGGACACGTGATCAGGTGCAGCGTCTAGCACCCATGTGATCGGGTGCAGCATCTTGCACTCATGTGATCAGGTGCAGCGTCTCGCACCCATGTGATTGGGTGCAGCGCCTAGCACCCATGTGATCGGGCGCAGCGTCTTGCACCCATGTGATCAGGTGCAGCATCTAGCACCCATGTGATTGGGTGCAGCGTCTTGCACCCATGTGATCAGGTGCAGCGTCTAGCACCCATGTGATTGGGTGCAGCGTCTAGCACCCATGTGATCAGGTGCAGCGTCTTGCACCCATGTGATCGGGTGCAGCGTCTTGCACCCATGTGATCAGGTGCAGCATCTCGCACCCATGTGATTGGGTGCAGCATCTAGCACCCATGTGATTGGGTGCAGCGTCTTGCACCCACGTGATCAGGTGCAGCATCTAGCACCCACGTGATCAGGTGCAGTGTCTCACCTTGTACTGGCAGAATATGTCCCCAAGAACATCTACTTGATATAGTTTATAGCTAAAACAGCTTCACCAATAATATGTGCTGAAATCATTCATCAAGTAAAATCTACAAACGAATACCTGTCCTGTGATTTTGTGAAATAATTCCCCACTCTCATATATCAGTTTCTAGTGATGTTATTAGATCTTCCACCACAGCGATGTTCTAATCTGATTGTCAGAGGTAATGTTTAGTCAGTCCATGGACGGCATGATGTGAGGAGACTGTATTACCTGAAATAAACTGTGACATTGTCTGGAAGGGTTAATATACAGAGATGTGCCCATCAGGCAAGGTACTGGCCACACTTCTTTGTATTGTTGTGTTTACAGCTTGGCTCAAAACTAGACAAGCAACACATCTTTGATGGATTAGAAAATAGCTGGATACAACAAATATTTGTTAACTTACAAGATATTGTCCACTACATTGTGTACTCTCTCAGCCAAAGCCTTCTCTGAAGTAGTTTCCAGCTACACTCACCCAAACAGCTTCAAGCCAAATAGAGTAAAAACACAAATTATACTTTCATTGTGACCAACTACGGCTAGCAACAGTCTGTAACCCACCAAATACAAGAAGTGTGTCCCTTGAGCTATGATGATCACAAGTCTCATGTTTACAGTATGGGAGCTGCTATATGTAATAATATAGTATTACAATGTTACAATTCACATACTGTAATGCTCTTACATGTCTTGTATCACAAGTTATATTTGGGATTACACTTTCTTAGTAAAGTACAAATTCTAATACTTTTTTAGTTGAGTCCCATCCGGGATTCGAACCCACACCCTCAGAGCTGGCATTGTGTACTAAAAGTCTTGTATCAGTAACACAGATTTTCATTGTTTCTATCAATGAAACACAGTGCAAGTGTCATTCAACACAACACAGTCATTCAACAGAACACAGTCATGTGTCATTAAACAAACACAGTGCATGTGTCATTCAACACAACACAGTGCATGTTTCATTCAACACAACACAGTCATGTGTCATTCAACATCATGAACCTAAATGACTTAGGAAATAAGTTAGAAACAATTCTGATTTCCAGCAGATTGATACCATGGCATTGTGGTACTGCGGCATGGAGACAAGCACAGTCTTTGACCTGGTCAAGGGAATTGTGAAAATAAGTCAACTTTATCTTTAGTACAGATGCACTCAGTCACAGCACATTAATGTGTAAGCAATGTTAGGCACATGTTTATATGTTTAGCAGTCAGTTGTAGTATATGAAACCCTGTGTATAGCCATCAGCTTATTGATGAACCACGAGCAGTGGATGACCACTGACCAGATATCAAGAAGCTGCCGTCCATGAACCTGTTGTTACTGTTGAAGCAAGTACTTGACCATATATGGAGGCCCAGGTTGACGAGTTACCATGGTAACCGTACAATTAACCCTCACCCGTAACTGCAGCAAATGTTAGGCTAGATAAGTCTACTCAGCTACTGTACATGAGGATACCTCTCTGTCGGCTAAGTGTCGGGGTTTGCGACTACGGAGTTTGTGTTTCTTTTTTTCTTTCAACGGGGATAACTTTGAGCCACCATTCTTGCCCGCTTTATGAGTTTTTGACAATCGTTCTCTGCGGTTGCGTCCACTTTTTTTCTTCACCTCCATGCGACACGTTCGTCCTCTCTTAATGATTGAGGAGCAACCATTAGTAAATGTTCTCCCAACAAACATGTCAGCCTCCATGCTGTCCGGATACAGTTCCCACTTACATTTCTATTCAAATATCACCCCCATGTTTACAATAGAAACACTGAACCTGACAACATGTAGACGATGCATCAATCAGAATACTGTCTAACAGGGCAGGCATGGATCCACCCAGCTCTCTATGTCTGCAGGATCATTGGAATCGATGGACCAAGTGGAGATAACTTGCATGAGCAAGCTTAGTTTTATACAAATTTAGCATGTTTCCATGGTAACTGCATAAGAGATCTGGAGCTGCATGACCTTTCCCTTGCTGACCTACATTTGCTGCAGTCATTACCCATGATCCTCCTTGCTGCAGTCAGCAGTGACTGAAAGTGGCCGCGTGGTGACCAAAACGGTCTTGTAGTGACAGAAGGAGGTCACAAGAGAACAGCCAAGGATGGGCTGTTTTAAACAGAATTAATGAAATTTGAAATTTACAATTTTGGAAATTTTAATATTTTTTTTCTGTTGATGGTTTGTGACTGCAGCAAAGTAGCATATGGACATGACAGACTGATCCTTATGTTGCTAAAGTTCAGTCTGTCATAATATTTCATGTGTTATAACAAAAGCAGTGTTCACAATGAATGAATAACTTGTGAACCAGTGAAGCTGCCAACTCCTGATCTGGAAGAGATTCTGGAAGATGCCCAGACTTCATCAAGGAGTCCAGGACGTTGTGGAGGAGGTCATGACATTGGAAGGTCAAGGACATTGTGCAGATTACATGGATTGGTTATGAGGAGAGAACAATGATGAAATAAAAATTGGCCATGAAGCAAACCAAAAAACAGAACAACGAAAGTGCATGCAGGCATGAGCTGGGTTAGAGCTGCATTCCTAGTGTTGGGCAGTATTCAAGGTTAAATGACAGCAGCGCGGGGGAGTGGGTTGCTGGGCAACATGGCGCTCACCGTCTGACCAGGGGGTCCGGGGGGACCGGGGGGGCCAAGGATGAAGCCAGCGGGAAAGCTTCCGTCTGGATCATACCCACCCCCACGTTCACCCTTATGTCCTCGCTTCCCCTGCAACACAATATGTTAGTAACATCGTCAACGCAACATCGTCAACGCATGCAGTCAAGTTGGACTGGTTACAGACATTAGGTGTTAGACATTAGTGTCAGTACAGAAAACAAATGAACATGACAACAGTGTTGGTAGCAGCGGGATTAGTTGTTACAGTTGCTGTCTCGTCAGCTCCCAGTAAACATTTCCTTGTCACTTGGTTTACAGATGATGATTCCTAACCACTGTCTATAGTGGTTGACATATACACTGACTGCATAATGTATTATCCCACATTTATTCCACATTGTGAACATTGGTGGCGGATCGGTAAACCATGTGATAGATAAACACAATAGAGTTAGTTAAAGGCTACAAGTAGAACGTGTTAAGTGGAGACATGGATGAGATTCTCACTCCCTCACACAATGTGTGATATGTGGTATAAAGTCATGAATGATGCTTAAATGAAGCAAAAACCAATAATTACCAAATATTTCCCGTACATTCAGTATTGTGCTGATCACAACTGGTAACACTGTTTACTGAGCAGATAGTGTCACATAGGTGCAGGTAAATATAAAAGTGTATATATAAATGTCGTCATCTGTACAATTGCTAGTTTGTGAGGTGACTGGTCACTTGTGACATCTACTCGCTACACAAACAAATCTAGTGATGGAGTGGGTTTAGTGACAAGTACGTAAAGATTAAAAATACTGGTGACTGTGTCCAGGACTAAGTGAATGTGTTTCCTATGGTGGTGTTGTGTGTGTTGCTGGGAGACAGGATTGTGAGGCAGTGTTAATGAGGGGGAGAAAGATGACCGTGGTTGTCAATGTTGCTGGGAGACAGGATTGTGAGGCAGTGTTAATGAGGGGGAGAAAGATGACCGTGGTTGTCAATGTTGCTGGGAGACAGGATTGTGAGGCAGTGTTAATGAGGGGGGAGAAAGATGACCGTGGTTGTCAATGTTGCTGGGAGACAGGATTGTGAGGCAGTGTTAATGAGGGGAGAAAGATGACCGTGGTTGTCAAAGTTGCTGGGAGACAGGATTGTGAGGCAGTGTTAATGAGGGGGAGAAAGATGACCGTGGTTGTCAATGTTGCTGGGAGACAGGATTGTGAGGCAGTGTTAATGAGTGGGGAGAAAGATGACCGTGGTTGTCAATGTTGCTGGGAGACAGGATTGTGAGGCAGTGTTAATGAGTGGGGAGAAAGATGACCGTGGTTGTCAATGTTGCTGGGAGACAGGATTGTGAGGCAGTGTTAATGAGGGGGGAGAAAGATGTCCGTAGTTGTCAATGTTGCTGTGAGACAGGATTGTAAGGCAGTGTTAATGAGGGGGGAGAAAGATGACCGTGGTTGTCAATGTTGCTGGCACATGCAGGTAAACCGAGAGAAGAGGGAGCTACGCAGTTACACAACTATCTGCTTGAAGGGCATCGCTGCGATGGTTGAAGTCCCCCATTACTTGACCTGTCATTTCCAACAAGAAGCTGGAACTACAAGCATTGCTGAGAGCCATCAATACCTGGGGTATATGGTCAAGTAATTAAATGTTTTACAGATTTTCTTGATAGAGACTACTGAAAGAGAATTATTTACAGAGTTGATTCAAGCCTAAATAGAAAATCTTTTGAGAAGAGAAATCACAAGAAACCCAAAATATACCAAATCATCAAGATTAATCAAACAAACAGCACTTCAACTTTTTTTAGGTTCCCTTCAGCTTTGCATATTTCAGAAGAAGTTGTTCAGTAAAACAAGGATCAATTCATCTGTGATAACACTTGTCAGATACTTTTCATTAAGAAGGTGTCGGGGTACGGGAACCTGCCCATCAACATGCTTGAGTTTGTATCCCCATACACAGGCGTCCATGCAGGCTCCACATGCTATACATGGCAGCAGGGTCACAGTGCAGCGACACATGCAACCACTCACTTGGGGTCCTGCAGGACCTACGTCTCCCTTGGGCCCCTGTATCCCCTGGGGACCCGGCTTTCCATTGAACTTGGTCAGTCCTGGCTTGCCCAACTCTCCCTTCGCGCCTTTCGACCCTAAGCGTCCGGGCATCCCCCGGTAGGCCCATCTCCCCTTTCTCACCCTGTATTAGTACATGACAAGAGACAGTGCCAAGCAGGGTGGAATACCATGTGTATCAAATAGCAGCAGTGCTCATAATAGGGAAAATGCAGCTTGTGTTCACGACTGGGTGGTATTAGGCCTCCGAACCAAATGTTCTTTCTTGATCTGCCATTTGCTTCAGTTGACAGTTGATGAACTATTGACCATGTACAGACCCTTACATTTTCTTATTATATTTTTCTTTTATATATTTGAAGCTTTCTTGTCATAGCCAAATGATCATTATTATCAAAGACTTGACATCTGGACAAAATAGTTCACCAGCCTAATATCATGTTGAGGCTTTGGGGGATTATTAGAAAATATTACACAAGATTAGAAGAGGAATCTGAAAATTATGACTGTATTATGACTATAGTCGTGTGCACAAGTATGGGTAACCTTGCTGCAGTCAGCACATCCTCCACACTACTGTGCCACGACAGTTGTACAAGATGGAGGATAGTTTGTGACTGCAGTGAAAGATTCCACTTAAGCAGGGTACAGATATTGCGGATACAGAAATAATGGATATAATTTGTTTACAAGGTATGTCCTCCATAACACTCAAGGGCATGATGGGAAATGTTTGACCCACAACATGGCCCCTGATTGGATGTACTGGTCTGATCAGTGACCTACTGTTTGGGAATATCACTTGCTCTGGGCAGCGCACAAGCAAACATAGCCATAAACAATGAGACAAGACACACACAAAAGCTTATAAGGTATACTGAACAAGAAAATTATTATATTTTGCCATACCTATTTAGTTATCTCACAGTTTTACCAAGAAGGGGGTCTGTTCGTTAACCTCATACTTGAGGTAGATGGACAATCCTTTTACTTAAGAACATACTAAAATCTCCTCCCATAGAAGCAAATTTGTGATATTGTGGCTTTAAAAATACCAAATGGCAGTGAAAAATGCAACAATATGTTTGCAGAGACATCTTACTGCTTTACAGCATAGACACTGCGCGATAATGAGGAACATAAATACCCCCAATAATAATCATGTGTTCAGAAAAAGACCATACATTGTGAATTGAGTTCAGTAAGGGGGAGACCAGAAGTTTCTGTTTTGTTCTCCTGGTGTATCGGATTATTGGAAAATCAGAGGATTGCCTGCATGGAATATTGGAGTATCTGAAGATTGGTTTAACTGCATGGAATATTGGAGTATCTGAAGATTGGTTTAACTGCATGGTGTATTGGACAGCCTGCCAAGCACCAACAGAAATATGGATAATACTTACCGGTTCTCCTGGCATGCCATCTTTTCCTGCTAAGCCCTGAAGAAAACATGCAAGTATGGACATCAAGTGCCAGCTGCATCATCAGTGTGGTAAGGGCATGCGGCTCACATCACTGACACAACAGGGAACCCACTCCCACAACCAGGGAATCACTACTACAACAGGGTACCCACTCCTACAAGAGGGACCCACTCCTACAAGAAGTGGGTTACTCCTACAAGAGGGACCCACCCGTACAACAGGGAACCCACTCCTACAACAGGGAACCCAGGCCTACAACCAGGGACCCACTCCTACAACAGGGAACCCACTCCTACAACAGGGAACCCAGACCTACAACCAGGGACCCACTCCTACAACAGGGACCCACTCCTACAACAGGGGACCCACTCCTACAACAGGGACCCACTCCTACAACAGGGGAACCCAGGCCTACAACAGGGACCCACTCCTACAACAGGGGACCCACTCCTACAACAGGGGACCCACTCCTACAACAGGGGACCCACTCCTACAACAGGGACCCACTCCTACAACAGGGGACCCACTCCTACAACAGGGACCCACTCCTACAACAGGGGAACCCAGGCCTACAACAGGGACCCACTCCTACAACAGGGACCCACTCCTACAACAGGGGACCCACTCCTACAACAGGGGACCCACTCCTACAACAGGGAACCCAATCCTACAACAGGGGACCCACTCCTACAACAGGGGACCCACTCCTACAACAAGGAACCCACTCCTTCAACAGGGAACCCACTCCAACAAGAGGGAACCCACTCCCACAACAGGGAACCCACCCGTACAACAGGGAACCCACTCCTACAACATGGAACCCAGGCCTACAACAGGGAACCCACTCCTACAACAGGGAACCCACTCCTACAACAGGGAACCCAGGCCTACAACAGGGACCCACTCCTACAACAGGGGACCCACTCCTACAACAGGGACCCACTCCTATAACAGGGGAACCCAGGCCTACAACAGGGAACCCACTCCTACAACAGGGAACCCACTCCAACAAGAGGGAACTCACTCCCACAACAGGGAACCCACCCGTACAACAGGGAACCCACTCCAACAACATGGAACCCAGGCCTACAACAGGGAACCGACTCCTAAAACAGGGAACCCAATCCTACAAGAGGGAACCCACTCCTACAAGAGGGAACCCACTCCCACAACAGGGAACCCACTTCTACAACAGGGAACCCACTCCTACAACAGGGACCCAGGCCTACAACAGGGAACCCACTCCTACAACATGGAACCCAGGCCTACAACAGGGAACCCACTCCTAAAACAGGGACCCAATCCTACAAGAGGGAACCCACTCCCACAACAGGGAACCCACTTCTACAACAGGGAACCCACTCCTACAACAGGGACCCAACATCCTACAACAGAGGGAACCCCACTCCCACAACAGGGGAACCCACTCCTACAACAGGGAACCCACTCCTACAACAGGGAACCCAGGCCTACTACTAGAACCCACTCCCTCAAACAACAGGGACCCACTCCTACAACAGGGGACTCCACTCCTACAACAGGGAACCCACTCCTACAACAGGGACTCCACAGGGAACCCACTCCTACAACAGGGGAACTCCAGCAAGAGGGACAACAACAGGGAACCCACTCCTACAACAGGGAACCCACTCCTACAACATGGAACCCAGGCCTACAACAGGGGACCCACTCCTACAACAGGGAACCCACTCCTACAAGAGGGAACCCACTCCTACAACAGGGAACCCACTCCCACAACAGGGAAACCCACTCCTACAACAGGGAACCCACTCCTACAACAGGGAACCCACAGGCCTACAACAGGGAACCCACTCCTACAACAGGGAACCCACTCCTACAACAGGGAACCCACTCCTACAACAGGGACCCACTCCTACAACAGGGAACCCACTCCTACAACAGGGAACCCAGGCCTACAACAGGGAACCCACTCCTACAACAGGGACCCACTCCTACAACAGGGAACCCACTCCTACAACAGGGAACCCACTCCTACAACAGGGAACCCACTCCTACAACAGGGGACCCACTCCTACAACAGGGAACCCACTCCTACAACAGGGAACCCACTCCTACAACAGGGAACCCAACTCTACAATAGGGGAACCCACTCCTACAACAGGGAACCCACTTCAGGGAACAACAACAGGGAACCCACTCCTACAACAGGGAACCCACTCCTACAACAACCCACTCCTACAACAGGGAACCCAGGGAACCCACTCTACTACAACAGGGAACCCACTCCTAAAACAGGGAACCCAATCCTACAAGAGGGAACCCACTTCTACAACAGGGAACCCACTCCTACAAAAGGGAACCCAATCCTACAACAGGGAACCCACTCCTACAACAGGGACCCAGGCCTACAACAGGGGACCCAATCCTACAAGAGGGAACCCACTCCCACAACAGGGAACCCACTCCTACAACAGGGACCCACTTCTACAACAGGGAACCCACTCCTACAACAGGGAACCCACTCCTACAACAGGGAACCCAGGTCTACAAGAGGGAACCCACTCCTACAACAGGGGATCCACTCCTACAACATGGAACCCACAAGAAGTGGGTTACTCCTACAAGAGGGACCCACCCGTACAACAGGGAACCCACTCCTACAACATGGAACCCAGGCCTACAACAGGGGACCCACTCCTAAAACAGGGAACCCACTCCTACAAGAGGGAACCCACTCCTACAAGAGGGAACCCACTCCCACAACAGGGAACCCACTTCTACAACAGGGAACCCACTCCTACAAAAGGGAACCCAATCAGGCCTACAACAGGGACCCACTCCTACAACAGGGGATCCACTCCTACAACAGGGAACCCACTCCTACAAAAGGGAACCCAATCCTACAAAAGGGAACCCAATCCTACAAGAGGGAACCCAGGCCTACAACAGGGAACCCACTCCCACAACAGGGACCCACTCCCACAACAGGGAACCCACTCCTACAACAAGGAACCCACTCCTACAACAGGGAACCCAATCCTACAAGAGGGAACCCACTCCTACAACAGGGAACCCACTCCCACAACAGGGAACCCACTCCAACAAGAGGGAACCCACTCCTACAACAGGGAACCCAATCCTACAAGAGGGAACCCACTCCTACAACAGGGAACCCACTCCTACAACAGGGAACCCACTCCAACAACAGGGAACCCACTCCTACAACAGGGAACCCACTCCTACAACAGGGAACCCACTCCTACAACAGGAAACCCACTCCTACAACAGGGAACCCACTTCTACAACAGGGAACCCACTCCTACAACAGGGAACCCACTCCTACAACCAGGGACCCACTCCTACAAGAGGGAACCCAGGCCTACAACCAGGGACCCACTCCTACAACAGGGACCCACTCCTACAACAGGGGACCCACTCCTACAACAGGGAACCCACTCCTACAACAGGGGACCCACTCCTACAACAGGGAACCCATTCCTACAACAGGGGACCCACTCCTACAACAGGGAACCCACTCCTACAACAGGGGACCCACTCCTACAACAGGGAGCCCACTCCTACAACAGGGGACCCACTCCCACAACAGGGCTGCCATGTACTCTGGATTTATCTAGGAGTTTATCTAGGCAAATACCCTAGGTGTATTGATGCACGCACCTGGAGAATGTATGGACTAGGAAGGAGGCAATACACAGGCTACATGAAGCTAGCAACATGTATAAGCAGAAGTAGCAACACAATGACTGCACAAGAAGCTGACTGCCAGGGCATACACTGCCAACAACTGAATACAGGAATATATGATCTCTACACCTTCCTTGTTCAACATCTGATGATGGTTTGGTGAGTATATGATGAATTTGGGGCTTATAGCAGCTCCAGTATCTTGGAACCATATAACACATTTCAAGTACTATCTCCACAAACAGAACACAGAATAAAACTCGGACTATCTGTGTGATGGGCCACCACAAACAGGTGGGCTATCCAGCCACCACCTGAATGTGTTGTTTGTTGGAGCTGTGTGCTGTGTGATTGCCATGTGGATGTGAGGAAGATATACTCACTGGAGGTCCTACTGGTCCTGGCGGGCCCTGCAACACACATAGCTAGGTCAACTCACACATTGCCAGGTGAACTCACACATTGTCAGGTCAACACACGCATTGTCGGGTCAATTCACACATTGTCGGGTCAATTCACATATTACCAGGTCAACTCACACATTGTCTGTCAACTCACACATTGCCAGGTCAATTCACACATTGTCGGGTCAATTCACACATTACCAGGTCAACTCGCATTGTCGGGTCAACTCACATATTGTCAGTCAACTCACACATAGCCAGGTCAACTCACACAGTCAGCCCAATTCATGTAGAGTCATATCAGTTCAACTCAAGCATTGTCATGTCAATTCATGTATTGTCAGGACAAGTCAAACATAGTCATGTCAACTCGCACATAGGTCAATGCACACAGTCATGTTAACAGACACACAGTCAGGTCAACCCACAGTCAGGTCAACAGACACACAGTCAGGTCAACCCACAGTCAGGTCAACAGACACACAGTCAGGTCAACTCCATAAGGCAACACAGATGAATCCTGTGATGTATTGTATTGTTTCACTGTTTCAGTTTTATTGTCTCCGAACAGACACAAGTTTTACATTGTAGCATAATAAATATAAATAATACAGTGGAAGCTGTCAAAACCGGCAGCTGTCCAATCCGGCAAGTTGTCAACACTGGCATAAAATCTCAGTCCCATCCGTGGCTAGTACATTTATCATCATTTAAGAGCTCTACAGTCTGGCAGCAGTCAATTCCGGATCTCGGCATGAAGTGAGCCGCCCGAATATGTGTTTATACAGTAATCAGTGCTGTCTAATCCGGCGCATGGCGAGGAGTTGGCAAGATGGTATTGTCACCAATTAATCCTGCATTGAAACTACATGGTTGCTGACAAAGATAATTTAATCTTAGTTCAGTATGGGTGTATTTGTAAATGTAATTAGTGTGTTGAGACAGAAATTGAGAGAACCACGTGATACAACAATGTATATGAGAGTGACAAAACTGGTTCGGTTCTAGTTGTAGGTAACCGTGTCAGCTCTACAATCTGGCACACTGTCTAAACCGGATTATTTCTTCAGTCCCGATGTGTGCCGGTTTAGACAGCTTCCACTGTACATGTAACCATCATTCTAGACAGCAATTATTTCCTGAAGAGTAAAACACTTTTAACATCAACATTAGAACCTGCTCCAGCTAAATAATCCTTTGACCGAATTTGTAGACAATGTATAGTTACACAAGTTAGGTTTGGTGAGAAACTGTCACGGTTAAATAATGCTATTTCCAGGCTGCAATATAAGACAATCCGGTTAAACTTCTGTTTTCTGTTGGAGTCCATCAACCTACTCACCGCTGGTCCTGGAGGTCCAACAATCCCGTCGTACCCTGGAAGTCCTGGTGGTCCGGCTTCACCAGGTGGTCCAGGATGACCACGCTCCCCAGGTTCACCCTGGGGAATTACGGACATATATGTAACAGGATATATGCAGTGATATACACCATGATGGCCACATCATAAGGGTAAAGGCAACATGTTTTGTGACACAATGTTCTACCTGAGAAAAAGAAATATATTTGTTTCTTCATTTGGGAACAAAATGAATTTAGACATAACTATGTTTAAACTGTTAATTACTGTTATAATTACTTTAGTATGACTATCAATATTAGGCACCATGACCATCATTCACTGTACAGGCCATTCATGTCTGTATCAGCCATCACTCAAGGTAAAACAGGAATTGCTAAGCAGCAATGTTTCCCTGGATGTCAGCTGCTGAGGAGCAAGATGCTTTAAAGGGGAAGTCTTTGTATCAACCACTATGGTGCAAACATCACAAACATGCACAAACATTTTACAATGTCACTTTTCTTCTGAGAGGCACCTTGCTCGACACTTTTCAGATGATCAGTGGAGCATTGCTTAGCCTTCACCATACCAAAACTAAGAAATGTGCCTACTCGTCCTTCAGATAGTTCCCCTGACCTACCTTTTGCTTCAGACAGCACAAAATTACTTATTCTTGCTCAGATAGTTCCCCTGACCTACCCTTGGTCCAAAGAGCACCATCAACCTACCTTTGCTTCAGATAGTACCATGACCTACCCTTGCTCAGATAGCTCCGCTGACCTACCCTTGCTCAGATAGCTCCCCTGACCTACCCTTGGTCCAAAGAGCACCATCAACCTACCTTTGCTTCAGATAGTACCATGACCTACCCTTGCTCAGATAGCTCCCCTGACCTACCCTTGCTCAGATAGCTCCCCTGACCTACCCTTGCTCAGATAGCTCCCCTGACCTACCCTTGCTCAGACAGTTCCCCTGGCCTACCCTTGGTCCAAAGAGCACCATCAACCTACCTTTGCTTCAGACAGTTCCACTAGCCTACCTTTCCACAGATAGTTCCCCAACCCACTACTGCTCCAGATAACATCATTCCTATGGACCACTGCTAGGATCTGTTAAACTGACCGACCTACCTTAAGTTCAATGATTCTCTGGCCATATTCGTCCAGCTCCAGTCCAGCCGGTAGACCGGGTGGTCCGCGGTCACCCTACACAACATGCACATGCTTTACAGTGTGACAACACGGCAACACAACACAGCGACACAACACAGGGGAGGTAGTCAAGGAAGACAGCGTGACAGGCAGTAGCCAATCAGGAGATCACAGCACTGACTTTCTGGGTAGTCGGGAACCGATCATTTCACATAGTTGGGGTAAGGGGATAGATATAAAAGTTGGTTTAAATAGCAAAAATAATTTGTCTTCATGTTTTAGCTCCATGAATAAACTGGACATTTTATGTTTTGAAGTTCTGACTGAAACGATATTATGACTCAGGCCCCTTGAGGATGTAAAATGAGTGGTCCCTTAGCTTGTGTATAACAGATGTTCAGAGGTGGCATATCATGCAAACTTAGGAAGGATCTGTTCGTGGATACAGACACAACCTGCTTCCTTCATGCAGTAACTGAAAAAGCAAACAAAACTGGTCCGTGAAAATACATGAGCAAGCTCAAAGAAACGGTGAAGAAAAATGCACCCAAATAAACTGTGCAGAAATCAGTGAAAAAAAAAAAATCAAAATATAAATTATGAGGAGTCATCCATCAACCCACATCTGCATGCATGTGTCCTTCTACCAAAGTCTGCATGCATGTGTCCTTCTACCAAAGTCTGCATGCATGTGTACGTTTTTCAACCAACCTTTATTGTGACTACTTCATAATCTGAACCCTGGAAGGAAGGAAGAAAAGAAATATCAAAGGGAAGGATACTTCATGACCTGGAACAACAGCTCTGGCTTTCTACATTCGTAATTAGTATTTTCAGATATCATGAGAACTGAAATGTTATGTTTAAAAAGTAAAGTGAACTAGCCTTCTTAAAAAAAACACATAAAAAGTATTTGAGTCTTTCAGTGGTTGATCTTCTTGCACGGCAGAAATACCTTTAATGATATAATTTTTCCTTCTCGTATAGATCTTTTTACACCCTGTAAGAGAAAAAAACAAATATCAACATTTCATCCAGCGTATGACAGCAAACAAGGGCTGGCTACAATTCATTAATGCAAAGATTGTGTATTGGTGGAGGTGATAAATCTCAATATGGCTTCCCATGTATGCTTGATAACATTTCCTGCACGGAGTTACCCCCCTTCAAGCAGCCAATCATTTCATCACCTCATGTTAAGTGTTTCTATTTCAAAGCTACTGTTTGACAGATCATGTCTGCTGTACACTGATAGCAAGGTAAAGACGTGTGGCTTTTTTGCATCCTGTGAGAAAAAATACACAAGATAAAGTGCAATATAATTTCTTTTTCCTGAATGATCAAAATTGGGCATCCCCCCCCCTCTCTCTCTCTCTCTTTGACACACAGAGACACACACAAACAGACACACAGACACACAGACACTCACACACACACACGCCTTGTGTTGTATAAACATAAAGATATATATATATTAACATATTTTACTTAAATTAACCATGGCACTTACTCAGCATTCACCTGATGAAACATTGAGACAAAGAGTAAGAGGCAATGTATAATGTATTCATGCATCACTTTAGGTTGATCTATTTCACCTGCTCCATGCATGTGGCTCCATGTCTTACCTTGGCTCCAGGTAGGCCATCATATCCAGCCAGGCCAGGCTCCCCTTTCATTCCCACTTCTCCTGACTCCCCCTGAAACATGGTGGCTAGGCATGTATACACAAGTTGGACTGGGCATGTATACACAAGTTGGGTGTTTTGTGTTGATACACTGAAAGTCCTCCACACTTTCTTAGCTTACCCTGTCCCCACCCCTGTTCACCCTGTCCCCACCCCTGTTTATCTTGTCCCCACCCTGTTTATCTTGTCCCCACCACTGTTTACCTTGTCCCCACCCCTGTATACCTTGTCCCCACCCCTGTTTACCCTGTCCCCACCCCTGTTTATCTTGTCCCCACCCATCCTTACCTTGTCCCCACCCATGTTTACCTTGTCCCCACCCCTGTTTACCTTGTCCCCACCCTGCTTACCTTGTCCCCACCCATCCTTACCTTGTCCCCACCCCTGTTCACTTTGTCCCCACCCCTGTTTACCTTGTCCCCACCCATCCTTACCTTGTCCCCACCCCTGTTTACCTTGTCCTCACCTCTGTTTACCTTGTCCCCACTCCATCCTTACCTTGTCCCCACCCATCCTTACCTTTGTCCCCACCCCTGTTTACCTTGTCCCCACCCATCCTTACCTTGTCCCCACCCCTGTTTACCTTGTCCCGACCCCTGTATACCTTGTCCCCACCCATCCTTACCTTGTCCCCACCCCTGTTTACCTTGTCCCCTCCCCTGTTTACCTTGTCCCCACCCATCCTTACCATGTCCCCACCACTGTTTACCTTGTCCCCACCCCCTGTATACCTTGTCCCCACCCATCCTTACCTTGTCCCCACCCCCTGTTTACCTTGTCCCCTCCCCTGTTTACCTTGTCCTCACCTCTGTTTACCTTGTCCCCACCCATCCTTACCTTGTCCCCACCCCCTGTTCACTTTGTCCCCACCCCTGTTTACCTTTGTCCCCACCCATCCTTACCTTGTCCCCACCCCTGTTTACCTTGTCCTCACCTCTGTTTACCTTGTCCCCACCCATCCTTACCTTGTCCCCACCCATCCTTACCTTGTCCCCACCCTGTTTTACCTTGTCCCCACCCATTCTTACCTTGTCCCCACCCCTGTTTACCTTTGTCCCCACCCCTGTTTACCTTGTCCCCACCCATCCTTACCTTGTCCCCACCCATCCTTACCTTGTCCCCACCCCCTGTTTACCTTGTCCTCACCTCTGTTTACCTTGTCCCCACCATCCTTACCTTGTCCCCACCCCTGTTTACCTTGTCCCCACCCATCCTTACCTTGTCCCCACCCATCCTTACCTTTGTCCTCACCTCTGTTTACCTTGTCCCCACCCCTGTTTACCTTGTCCCCACCCCTGTTTACCTTGTCCCCTCCCTGTTTACCTTGTCCTCACCTCTGTTTACCTTGTCCCCACCCATCCTTACCTTGTCCCCACCCCTGTTTACCTTGTCCCCACCCCTGTTTACCTTGTCCCCACCCATCCTTACCTTGTCCCCACCCCTGTTTACCGTGTCTCTCACCTCAGTTTACCTTGTCCCCACCCATCCTTACCTTGTCCCCACCCATCCTTACCTTGTCCCCACCCATACAGTTACCTTGTCCCCACCCATCCTTACCTTGTCCCCCCTGTGTACCTTGTCTTCACCTCAGTTTACCTTGTCCCCACCCATCCTTACCTTGTCCCCACCCATCCTTACCTTGTCCCCACCCCTGTTTACCTTGTCCCCACCCCTGTTTACCTTGTCCCCACCCATCCTTACCTTGTCCCCACACATACTTACCTTCCCTCCCTTGTCTCCCTTTGGTCCTTGGTTTCCCTGGAACACATAGAAGCTCTCATAAAATCTGTGCTACAGCGTGGCCAGTCAGTGAGCATCTGAACCACCAGGAAAGACTCTTTAACATTATCTATAAGTTCTTGTTGCTGTAAAGAGATGTTAACCCTTCTGTTGTTAGGCATACCGTTATTGCAGATAACACAATGTAGAAGTGATGTTGAAAGTATGATCAAGTCCCACTTACTGACTCCCCACTCTTCCCTGGTGGGCCTATGGGACCCTGAAACAGAGAGAATGCACCTGATTAGGGGCTTGACAGTGTCCTTGATACATGTACTCTGTGTGGAGTATCGGCTGTGTATAAACATTTGCTTGATATGAGCTTAAGTAGTTTGTCTATCATGTTGGTATATGTATCACATACTGACTAAAGAATGTGCATTACAATGTCATTAACTCATGCTAAACAATGCTATTCTAGTCATAAATATTCAAGATGAAATCTCAGATCCATGATTCTTTACAAGATAGTATATAATCGAAGTTGTAAGATGACGAGCCATTATGACTGCCACTGTGACTGTGGCCCACCCCACATATCACAGTTGTCATCGGGCCTGCTCAACAACAACCAGGTGGAGGGAGGGGCACCTGTTCAAAATGGCCGCCGTGTAAGGCAGGTGTGTGGCTAGTTGATGGAGATGCCAGATTTACACCAGTTCCAGTCACGCTCCAGTCACTGTGCACCCTTTGCCCCCTGCCCTCATTCGCACCACAGATGGTGCCGCACACAGCATCACCAGCATCTACACCAGAGACGTGACAACCCACCTCACCTTGTACAGTGTTTATAATTTCACCTTGGTAGATTGAGAAATATGAAATAATATGAAAAATAAGACATGCATAGTTACTGACAACAGAACTTAGTGTAAGATTAGGACAACATAGAAGCAATGGTCGGCATACTTTCCTACACAACAACCAGATGATGATTAGAGTTGACGTTGGTTAATCAGTACATAGCATGTAAATACTGTTAATACTTAGCACCACTATGTAGAGTATATGGTGTGTATGTACCCAGATTTACACAATGATGCACCAAGGTCCTGTCTTAAAGGGGTTCCCTGGCTCTGTGAGGGACATTGAGAGGGATGTGTCTGGATCTTCATACATGTTCAAGTTACCTTCGTAATCTGATATCAGTAATGAATCACTGGAAGATGGAAATTTGTTAATTTTGAAAGAATAGCTCTAGAAAATATATAGAATTCACAAACCATGTCATTGACATCACTTTCCGTTATCATCCTTCAAAGGATTCAGTATTTTCTATGCAGTCAGTATATTTGCTGTGTGCTCAGAGCATTTCCTGTTGTGTGAATACATTTCCTACAAGGTCAGTACAATTTTTGTATGGGGCCTTAATGGACACCATTGCAGGAGACCTCGGTGCTTCACTGTTGTATACTGTGTGGTTGTGAGATATCCATTTATTGAAACATTGTCAGTTTAGCATCAAAATAATATCATTGTGTAACATCCGAGCCGGTTAGATGACATCGCCCCCAGGGACTCCACAACACTGTGGGACATTCAACACGTCATCCAGCCCTCCTGACATGGTATGCTGGAGGATCGGACAACTAACCATTGAGGAGGTCTGAAGCATTGTGGAGTTAACATGGATCCCATCAATACATCATTAGAAGTCACAATCTTGAACATGCAATAATAAAATGACAACTTTGTTAAGACCAGTAGCTATGGTAATTTATTGTTACCAGGACAATGTTCACTGTTACCATGGTGATACCAGCAGAGAGTCATGGGGTAACATTTGTGATCCTCCTGGTAACAGATAGCCACTGTGGAATACATTCAGTCACACGGTGATACAGACAGGTGATACAGCAACATGCACATGCATTCTGTAGTGTTACCATGCACACCAGAGTACAGCGCCCCCTGGTGTCAATGAGGAGAGATTTGCAGGAATGTGATCAGAGAAATAATGTCACAGTCAGACATCTTACAATGTGTAACCAATTTTTAGCTGAAATGTAATGAAACAACCATTACACATTTCAAGAAGATAAACACAGAACTTAGGATGAAGGAAGGTGCCCATGAAGAAAGGTGCGATGTGAGGAAGAACAAGGAGAAGAAGAAGAAGTGTTCAACCAGCTAGCAGTCAGGACATGGTGTTGACGTGGACTGTGGGGGAGACTGTATTCCTGGAACCCCTCCTACACGTGACTCGGACCCATGCTGTGAGTGGTTATATTCACATACAGAGACTACGTCACCTTGTGGTGACAGATATAGACGTGGATTACCTTCCAGTATTGAGCTACCATGTATGTTGATGTAGGGCATGCAAAGATGATGCTCCCACTATAGCCATACAGTATTATTTATTAGGGTCAAAGACCAGATATAATTACAGCCTAACAGGGTTTACCATTAATAAAGTACTCTGAATATTGACGTTGCCTTTGCTTGCTTAGACTGCATCAACTGGATTGTCAGAAGTAATGAAAGAGTAATCTAAAGTAATCATACTGGTTATATCTAATGATATACTGGTATCTTGTTAATTATGTTGAGTATATATAGAAAGCTAACGGAAGTAAATCTACCTCTCATGTACTGGCAGATACAACCTTTCATTATGTCCTTGACCTTCCTACAGAGGTCAGTAGAGTTTTGTACATGGACTGATTGCCTAATCTCAATTAATAAACATACAGTTAAACCTCAATAATCTGGACTGGCATGCACCCTAAAGTCATGGGGAAAGTTGCCGACAACAGAGGGTGCCAAGCCCCCACTCTAGGCATCCAGTATTCCACTTAATGTCTAGACATCCAATTTAACTTCTGGATGCAACAATTCCCTGATTATTGATCAGTAGGTACAGAACAAGAACACTTGTACTAGTGGGTACAGAATATGAACACCGTGTACAAGTGGGCATTACAAGCAGAAATGGTCGAGAATGGGTTTTCAGACTAATAAAGTCCAGGCTACTGAGGTTTTACTGTCTAGAGAGTGTGATTTAGCTGTACTATTTTCTCTGAAGGTGGAGCAGTAGGTAGATTTATTCAACTGATTCCCCACATTAAACTAAGTTATCCCTGATGGCAGAGTGAGAAGTGGACAGAAGGACAAAACGTGGGCGTGGCTATGGGCAAGAAGTCTTCATGATGCACAGAGATAGTGAGAGAAAAATCCTCCAGAGAAACAGAAACAATTGTCTAGGAATTACATGGGAAAACATTCCCAGATGAATTGATCACACACCGGAAAGCCTGAGTATCCCCGTTGTCCCTTCTCTCCCTGAAACAAACCAAACAGCTGGTTCAACAGCCACCTGTATGATAGGGCACGCTCTACACGGCACTCTCTACACGTCACTCTCTACACAGCACTCTCTACATGGCTCTCTACACGGCACACTCTACACGGCACTCTCTACACGGCACTCTCTACACGGCACTCTCTACACAGTACTCTCTACACAGCACTATCTACACGGCACTCTACACGGTACTCTCTACACGGCACTCTCTACATGGCACGCTCTACACGACGCTCTCTACACGACCCTCTCTACACGGCACTCTCTACATGGCGCTCTACACGACGCTCTCTACACGGCACTCTCTACATGGCACTCTCTACACGACTCTCTCTACACGGCACTCTCTACATGGCACTCTCTACATGACTCTCTCTACACGGCGCTCTCTACACGGCACTCTCTACACAACGCTCTCTACGCTGTGCTCTCTACACTGCACTCTCTACACGGCGCTCCACCTGGGGTGGTGTAGCAACAACACTCGTATGTGATACGCATCCTGTGATGTCAGATTATGTCTGTGTGCATGTTGGACAAGACATGTACGAGGATGCAGTCTGTATGATGGCTGTAACGATGATAGTGGGGACGCGGGGACGCTGGTGCTGCTGATGTGGAATGTCGCAATGATGATGATGAACATGTAACGTTATAGTGATGCTGGCAGAGAGTGAGTATGGTTTTACGTCACATTTATCAGTATTCAAGCAATATTCCAGCAACACCAGGAATCAGCTTCACGCACTGTACTCGAGAATCGAACCTGGGTCTTTGGGGTGACGAGCAAACACTTTAACCCCTCAGCTACCCCACTGCACCATGATGACAGTGAGTCTAGACAGTGATATATGTGATTTCTGGTGATGCTGGCACTACAACTAGTTATATAATTCCCTGTAGCTGTCAGATACCCAAGTAGACATTGGGCTGTTTGTTGGCAGGGCTTGGAGGTGTTAAGTGATGCTTCATGTGTTTGGCAATCAGGGCCAGTTATGAATAATACGCAGCATGTGGAGTGTCATCTGCTGTAGTAAACTATTTAGAATGGATGCTTTTTTAGGAAGCAATTACAAATATTTATTCATAAAAAAGAATCACTCCTCTAGGTATGGTTTGCACATGTGGAGGTGAATTTTGGCAGTAATGAAATGAAAAACTCCTCCAGCTCCATTGAGTCATTACAGTGATTTGCTTTCTGTTAGATGTGGATTAGCTATAGCACATGTGGGGTATAACGCGATATCGACTGTCTGGTATACATCTACAGCACAGAGCAGCACCTCGTTCCTGCCTGATTTACAGTTTAATCACAAATGAAAACATGACAAGGTCTAACTAAAAAATGTGAAGAACGACTTAAGTGAAGCTGGAGAAACTGGTGAAGTTAGAAGCCCTGGCAAAGGGCAATGGTTTCAGCGCCATGTTCGGTACATCTGGTGCCTTATGGCAGCGACATGGAGGGCTGCTGGAATTCCTCATTAATACACAGCCTTATTTAGCCTACATTGAAGAAAACACTTTAACAGCTACTCATATTTTTACTGACATAAACTATTTTACTGTCCCATTAACCAACGTGGTGCATCGTTAAATTCATGGTGCTTCTCTGAGGTGAACAGACTTGTAGATATAATAAAACGTATTTCATCCAGCTAAATGCTGGCCTACTGTGGTGAGGTATGTACACTGTTGATGATGTTGATGATGTACAGGCATACAGACCTTTGACTATAGAACATTCATTATCCAACTGCCTGACAAGATCCACACACGATTTACACTTTCTTATATACCAGTAGTATGACAGCTAGAAGTAATGTAATCTGGACCAGATAATCCAGTGATGGATATTGTGATAGCATGCATGGCCTGAAGACCAAGTGATCTCATTTGTTTGAGCAGCATACCCG